TTTTTCGGATAATTCACGTAATTATTTCACAAACAGCATTACGTGATATGCAAAAAACATAAAAATTAAAATAGTTTTTATTCTGTATGTCTTAATTCTAACTTGGTTGGTCGTGTTCCTGGATCTACACTTACGTGCGTTATCAGTACGTAGGACATTTAACGTTTATTACAGGGTTTTTTGACTAACAGGTATTAGACGATACGTAAGCTTTTTTAATTAACTCTCAAGTATAAACAGAATTATATAAGTTGAAATGAAGGCTAAGCAAAAAAGAAAAACTATTTGTAATTACTAAATAGATCATAAATCCTCACATATATGTTTTTCTCCAAAGTAAAGTAACAACCGAAGAGATTTATTTACAAAACTAAGGTTTATTAAGGTATAATGATCCCAAACGTCCCATAAAGTACAGCCATTGATTTACAGCTCCAACACATTTCAACTGAATCCATTTGCAATCCGCTCCCACAACTATTCCAAATAAAAGGAATTCCTCGTACAAAAGGGAAACCTGGGAAAAAGAAATAAAAAATATAATAATTCAAAATGGCGTCTGGCCACTTAATAACTGGCTGACACCATTGGGAAATATAATTTAATTTTTCTTTAGCGCCGTACTGTTCGTTCGTAATTCAAATGTGTATTTCTGTCCTTGTCTGGCATTTCCTCGGTTGTGTCCCCCTCTAGCGGCCGCCCCCTCAAACTTCCGTTTGTTCGGGCGCCCCGTGTCACCCAGTGTTCTGGACAAGAAATATTTGCGATATTGTGTTTAGATGATTTGTGTATTCGCATGTACGTGGTGGGAATTTATAGAACGTACAGTCATGTACAAATTGTTCGATGGTTACTTATAGTTAATGGTACACTCATCAAAAGTTTTTAACAAGCTCCAGGGCAATGTTGTCTGTTTGTTCAGCCTCTGATGTATTTCATATTATTAGTATAAGTTTGTGATACGTACAAAGAGAATTTATTTTGCTTCTATGCTTGTTTGTAATAAAGAGTCGCAGAAAATCATTATTGTCAGCTACTTACAATAATGTTACTATTCATTTTTTCAATGGATATGAAATAGAAGTTTCAGAAAAAAGTACAATTCAGATGAATTTCGTAATAGCATTGGTACAAAGTTATTGCTTATTATGAATTACATTATCATGAAGTCCGAAATTATGCCCGCTGGTAATATATCGACAAAATAGAATCACATTTAACTGACTTAAAAATCAAAGACGGAACTTACGAAAACCTTCTAAGTATACAGAAATTTTTGCGACCAACGAAACGCACCACATTTACCCAACTATACATTATTTTCACTACAAATAAATAATAATAACACATAGCTCACATAATCATAAATTACTTTGTAAAATCAGCATGTTAAAGCTCTCTAGTTGCCTATAAAACTATGCAAAAACTGTAGTGACGTCACGAGGGAACAGGTGTGAAAGTAATATTCTAATGTTGGTAAGAGCGTCCCCCCATCCATAATAATATAACCCCTCCCACACGTTTTTACATAAAACTAGATAATGTAGATGATATGTAAGGTAGATAAGTGGGCCGATCTTTAAACTGAGTTAGATAAACGATGAACGTAAAGGAACTATAAGTATTCATTGTGAAAAGAGGTAATGTCTCCTCTTTTATACTTATTATAGGTAAAGATAACTATTAATAATAGACTGTTATTAAGAATGAGATAATTATGTAACTTGTTAAGACGCTAGCTTACAATGCATGAAGGTGCGCGTTCGAAACCTACCAACTACAAGTACGAATGAGATATTTTACGAGTTATATGCACATTCTAAAATCATTTAGACACCACTGACAAATGGTGAAGAAAAACATCGTGATGAAACTTGGCTTAAATTTCTAATTATAAGTTTGAAATCACCAACCCACATTGACCTTCTCCGTGTGAGAAGATGCCTTCGGTCACTTATAGGCTGTTGATGTTGATGTGGGCAGCAGTCGGCAGCACTTTTTAATAAATCTAAACCTTTAGTTTGCAATCTGTATTCCGCCTGTGGATATAGTTACAAAACTATTAATGCTCTTGATGACGAAAAATCTCATAGCAGTTCTTACTTCATAGAACCCGCTCCCGTATTTATGGTAACCGACCCAAAAGATAAAGCTCAGCTTTTTATGGTTAATTTGACCACTAATTCTGATAAAACTTTTATGCGTATAATGTTTATATGAAAAATCACGAATATAAATAATAATCAACACCTATTAGTGAAACAGTAAATATTTAAAAGCGCCATCTCGGAGACGGCTCTCTAACTATTTATCCGTAGCGGTTCGTAGACTGCGTAGTCGGAAACCGTAGTTGTACCCCTCTCGTAGTCTCATAGCAATGCAAAACAAAGTGGGTACACAAACGGAGCAAGTTGCTGTCTCTTCGAAAGTTCAACTACTAGTTACTAGATGGCGTTATTAACAAAACACGTAAAAAAACGTGTTCATAATTTCAATATTACAAGTAGAGTATGCTTTAATTATCTACATAATTATCTATACAATTTTAGAGGTTGATTCGATTTGTTTATTTTACTTTTTCACAAGACTTATTTTTAAAATAATATAACATTGAGAACCCTTATCATAAACTATGATTCCGTAGGTAACCCTACTAGATCTAAAAAATTCGAAAATTTTAATAGATGATTAAATTAATAAATTCACATTCAATACCGCGTTACACGTGATGTAGAGTACACAGAAAAATATGACTTTTATCACGAGTTATTGAGCTATTGTTCGGTGACTATTTGTTTTACTTACAGTACTGTTTGATCTTCTTATTAACTAAGATAAGGTCTGCGGGCAATTGAACATCTGTATGCTGTCATTGCGAAGTACTGGGAGATAGCAAAATTATTGCTTCGTCAGGTACTATCGACAAAATGTACTCGTGTCTCGGTCCTTTTTTTTATTTGTTATTTGTTTTTGTGTACATTCTAGTCAATAATTAACTAACCAATCTAAGTGGCAAACACGTCTAAAATAACAAAAACGTAAATACTAATTTAAAAATAGATTTGAAATAATCTTCGACTAGTGGTCACCTGTAGTTTTCCCCCATTGTACCATTTGTGAGACACTGATATAATACTGCATAATACCATGTAATATTTTAAAGTCAGTTTGTTTTTCGTCACTTAAAATACTGGAGAAGGACTTAAATGTTCACTGACACTAAGCTTACCTTTCTTTTTTTAGAACTTAGTTAATTTTCTTTTTTTAGGAGGGAAAATAGTCGAATGACTTCTTGGAGCCTAGGTGAGGCGGGAGGGAGTGTCAGACTCTTACTGACTAATAACCGCCCCGTTCCTATTCTTGCACGTCGAGTCATAGCCCTATTGGGCCCCATCCGTGGTGGATCAGACCAGATCAGGCTCTTTGAAACGCGCGCTGAACGCGACACGCCTTACGCTTTGGTCTGGTTCTGGTCGGACAGCGAGCTATGATGTCGCACGCTTGCCGTCCGCAGGCTCGTGCTTACGGTGCCCAAAGATCGTCTAAGTACTAATTAGTAGTACTAAGAAGATTGGAGTACCCACTTAAAGATTTTAACGTCTGCAATTTTTTTAAATGTTGGTATTGATATAATAAATCTCTAAGCAATTATGACCAGATTTAGAACCTGAAAATTGGAAGAGTTTATTTATTTATTTCTTATGATTAAGAATCGCCAACGAATGTTAAAACTCAACTTATGAAAAACAGAAATGCTTATTATGATTATAATTTTCGGCTTACTCATATACCTCTAATTATTGACCGAGGCACCCGACTAGTTTCAAGCCATGCTAGAGGCTCTAATTCATGAGTAGCATTTCGTGACCTACGAATATCGCCGCGTCTGCATCAATCGCAGCTTTTGAGGGCTACTACGTGGTGGGACCTACCGCAATATAGTGGTAGGTCGAGGCCTGCTGGGTGTGGTGAATCCGCAAGGGCGTCCCGGGCCTCGGCCACAGGCAAAGGAGGAACACCGCGGTGGTTTTAGCTGGTAAGAGTCCGACAGACCGCCCCGTGGATCCCACGGTGTGGGAAGTCCATGAGTATTTCCATCTCGGTATAAAAAAAGGTACTAGTGAAATATAGGTAGGTAGTTATTATATTTCTCATATGTACAGTTTTGAAGAGATATTCTTCATTATATGACGTGACGTTGTGTTTATGACTTGCACTGACATAAAACTAGCCGTTAAGACATTTACAACAGTTACAACCGTAAAAAGTCTAAAAATAAAAATGATTTACCTAAAATAGTATACAGATAACTTTTAGCATTAGTAGGTACTGTTATGTCTACATAAGAATATATACATACACCACCTCACACTTGTCTCTCATGGGGGTATGCAGATACCATAGAACGCCAATTGCTACGATTCTTGATACCTCTTCATATTTAATACCATTAGTTATTTTTTTTTTTATAATGTTGCCCTTAGTTGGACTTTCTCCCGTGTCGTAGGTGCGTTAACAAACATACAAGTTCACATTCACATCACACCCAGACTCTAAACACCAATCTGTGGAATACACACGTCCGTACGGGAATCGAACCCGCCACACATTGCGCAGCAGTCGGTTGCCCAGCCACCGCACTGACTAACCGTGCAGTCAATTAATAATTTTTTGTATGGGTTGTCTATTTATTGAGAAAGATTATAGTTATGTAAATTCACGTTGCGATCAATTGGAGCTGAGCAATGGCGGACACTGTGTAGGAGATGCCGATAAGAAATAAATGTATAAAATACTTGGTAAACCAATCAGAACAAAACCAAACACTCATTAAAATAGACCTCCACACAATTGGCGTTTAAACAGCTCGTCCTAGTATTTGCAAAAAGATTGAATACAAATCCTGCTTTTATCTTTAATATCTCTTATTATTGTTAGAAGGCACATTGAGATAGGAACTCAGTTATTTGCGACACGTAATTAGCACTTGAAAGACGTCTATAATGGTGAAAGTAACTACAATACCACCTGTGTCTCCAATTTATTTTAATGTAGCTGAATATTGCTTGTTTGGTATCATATTAGGTGTTATAATAGGAATTATTGTGTATTATAATGTTATCAATAGAAAATATGTTACTGTGGCTGGGTTCCTGTTTGGTGGGAAGAATATGTCAGTTATCCCTATTACTTTGGCTCTAATTGCGAGGTAAGTACTTTTTTTTAATTTTCATTCCTCATCAACATGCTCATTGTCGAATCCGCGCATGCATATGTAAAGCCCCTCTGTGACTAGAAAATACATAGTAGAGTTTGACTCTGTCATGTGATTAAACTTTTTTATTATTTTGTTTTTATTATGTTATACTCCAAAAGTATTTTCATGCATACGTGAATATGATTCTCAGGTCCAGGTGAGTCTTTAAATCGATTGTCGGGTCAAACAACTTTTGTTCTGTCATATTTGCTTTTGAGCTTCACAATAGTTCTATTCGATACATCCTTACTATAATATTATAAATCGGAAAGTGAGTTTGTTAGTTTGTTTGTTTGTTTGTTCCGACTTCACGCCGTAACTACTTAACCGATTGCATTGAATTTTGGAGACGTAAAGTAAGTAGTCTAAATATTCCCGAGGGAAAACAAAAGTATTGGTATAGATGGCGCTGTATGTATTAGTATATGTCACATAGGCTACTTTTTATTCTTTTGTGACGCGAGCGAAGCCGCGAGTAAAAGCTAATATAATATAATAGTAAAATGTACAATTACTGATTATTTACTGCACAATTGCACATTTATTTACCATCAATATTGTAGATTACGTTCGTATTCATTGTACTGCAACAGATAAATGTAATCTCATTATAACCATAAACAATGTTATCACATCTCTTATACATCTTTCCATTATTTGCTTACTACTGTTACCTATGTTTTGTTAGGGTAACTGTCCACGTTGCGTCATTTCATAAATGCATGCAACCTTCACAAACAATAGGCGGCCTACAAATGACAAATGCTAAGAAAAATTTTGCTTAGAAATTATGAAAACTATCCACGAAGCGGTAATATTAAATATCAGTATTTTAAGTGTTTGAGAGCCATGCTTCGGCACGAATGGGCCGACTCGACCGGAGTGATACCACGGCCTCACAGAAAACCGACGTGAAGCAATGCTTGCGTTGTGTTTCGTCGTGTGAGTGAGGTTACCGGAGGCCCAATTACCTTCCCCTTCCCCAATCTTCCCAATCTCTGAATCCCCAACGATCCTCAAACTCCTAATCCCCAAAAAGCCGGTGACGCACTTGTAACGCCTCTGGTGTTCCAGGTGTCCATGGGCGACGCCGATTGCTTACCATCAGGTGATCCGTCTGCTCGTTTACCGGCTTATGTACGCCATAAAAAAATCACCTCTTATGAAATTATTATGATTATATTGCGGTGCAGGTTTATCATTATGTAAATCAATTAATGTTTTAGATGACCATTGGTGTTGAGTTTGCAATAAGTAAAATTGTATTAGTTAAGGTCTAAATATTAAGGTGAATAGAAATCAGAAATCAGAAATCAGAAATCAGAAATCAGAAATAATTTATTTGCCAAAAATGTAGGTAACAAATATGTTGTTATATAAGTATTGTATGTTATATAGGTATTGTAAACTTGTTTGTGATTCTAATAAATAAAAGAAAACTGCTTATCGCTTTTGTTGAATGCATGCGTTCGTCACGTATCACGACCTGGTCAAGATAATAGAAAGTTCTATTTTCTGAATGGCAAGAGAGAAAAATAACATATTAGCTAAAACATAACTAATACAGAGTTGATAAACCCCAGAATAATAACATAGATCCATTTATTCATTGCAGTCATCTGACGAGTATCACTCTTCTCGGTGTCCCCGTGGAAATATACCTCAGAGGCACGCAGTATTGGGCGTCAGCACTCTCACTTGTCATCGTCACCTTTCTCACAGCTGTCATTTATTTACCTGGTAAGTTACCCACTTAGATACCTACTTAAAGGTTAAATAACATTTCGCTAGTTGTGAGTGGATTTTCCGCGTGATATTTTAAAGCCAAGTGTACAATGGGGGACCAATGTCCGGCGACACGTGTTGTCAATGACGTTGAGTAAAGTAGAGCGACGTTGGCGGACTTTAGTCGACATGTCTGGCATCAACGTCGCTGTGGATATAATGCCCATGTTATCGCCTTATACCTAATATGTCGGGCGAAATCGGCAGGCTTCGTTTCACATGTCGCCGATACATGTCGAGGGACATTTACTATTGTCCCCTAGTGTATCTTTGGCTTAATAATTCAGATCCAAAATACAACTGGGCTTTGTCAGTTTCGAAAATGAAATTTAAATGTACGTACCTTTGACGACTTCTACTCAACGTTATTATTTTTTTATTCCAGTGTTCCACAAGCTCCAACTGTCATCAAGCTTCGAATATTTAGAGATAAGGTTCTCAACACACACACGGACAATTGGTGCAGTTCTGTTCGTCGTTAGCAAGCTTATGTTACTCCCTATTGTGCCTTATGTACCACTCATGGCTTTTAGACTAGGTAAGCTAATTAAAATTTTTTTACTCTTTTTTGCTGACGCATCAAGCATCGTCATTGTTTCATATCTGACCGTCCAAATGGTCTATACTAGTTTAACTCGTTGAGTACCGTCATTATAGACACAATTAAAGAACAATAGGTTGCGGTCACCGGTGACCGGTCGGTGTTTGACAGTTTAAGCCCCTCATATTCTGCGCAACCTCTTGGTTTATAGAAAATAAGTAGCGCAGTCTATTTTTTTATATTTGATGGGCCGACGTTTGGCCACTATCTCGCCTGATGGTAAGCGATGATGCAGTCTACTATGGAACACGTGTATACAGTGTTCATTACTCGGTCTTATAACATAATATTATATTCATTCAAAATCGTAGTATCGTATTGAGTTTTAAAGTTTGGAAGAGAGACTTAATTTTTTCGAACACACGTTTTGACTACGTGCTCTTTTTCAGTAACAAATCAGTTAGCAGGACGTGTGACCGCAGTTTTATGCGTCGCATGCGCAACGTTTAGCGCTGTTGGTGGTTTACGAGCAATAGTGGCTATTGGTATCATGACGACTTTCTTGGCTCTTGCTGGCACTGCATTACCTAGTGGACTAGCTCTGTTACCCATGGGATTTAAGAGGATGTGGGAAATCGCCAATCATGGTGGACGATTAGTTCTTTATGAGTAAGTACAATTATGTCACTCTTTCTTATCTGAAGGACAAATAAAAGAAATAGAGCCTTACAACGATAGGATTGCCTATATTTTACTTGTTAATTTTTTGATATTATCAAGTAGATGGTTTACATATAAAATTACCCAAACTATAAGTTTTGGTTTCAAAATTGTCTAATGATTTGTAGACTCATAAATATGGTTTAATATCTTAAAGATCATGTGAAAGTGTTGTAGACCCAGCCTTAACCCGTTGAAAATTGTTGATAATCATCCCCTAAATTTGTTCATACAAAAGTAGGCTCTAAACATTGGAAATAAGGTCTATAATGTAGTTAGTGGAGAACGGTCACCGGTGACCGCTTGAGGATATACGGGTCAAGTATATCTCAGTATGTTTAGTTTTAAAATATTTACTTTTCAGTCCTGACCCCGAAATGGCACACCACACATCGTTCTTTGCAGTCACATTAGCTCTATCAACAAACTGGCTATGGAAGATAGCATTAAGTCAAGCAACACTTCAGAAACTGTTAGCAGTACCAACAATTAGTCAAGCAAGAATATGTCTCGCCATATCCTGTGTTGGTGTGATATTTATGAAGTTGCTTTCTTGTTTCCTTGGGCTAGCACTTTATGCGTGGTTTGCTGGCTGTGATCCCCTACTTACGGGGCAGATAAAGAAACATGAACAGGTCGGTGAAAACGGTTATTTTATTGTGTTTGTATATTATTACTTTATAATAGGTATATAGGTTGTATAGTTAACAATGTACCTAGTATTGAAATGTTGCGATTATTTTTTTTCTGAATCTAAATAACTTCAGTTGAAATTAATAAATATGTCCGGGGAAAACCCAAAAACTAAAATTAAACTAATTAACTGTATTTGTTATGTTTTTAATAATAATAAAGATATAAATTTTATGATACTCAATAGATAATAATACAACTATGTCTATCTTGCACCATGTTAAAGTTCCAATGGTTTCTAATGAGTGTTTTGATGAATTAAAATTTTGTCTGTAGTGAAAAAGCATAAGGCGAAAGCACAATGATTTTGGAAATATACATATAGAACTATGCTAAGTTGAATATTAAAATCGTATTCCTTTTTTTCTTTCACAGCTCGTCCCTCTATTTCTCAACAATCTATCTCTGATGTTCCCGGGTATTTGTGGAATTTTCATCATCTCAATATTCAGTGCAACTACTGGGTGAGACATTATTTTTATTCGTTCTAACATTATCTTTGTGGTATTGGGATTAAAGTTTATATTAATTTACCGATCAGATGACACTTGTTACAGCTGCATTGCTTCGTTGATAAATTCTGTTGCTGGAGTGCTGTTTGAAGAGTTTATCAGGCCGTGGATGCCTCAGAGTACCAATGAGAGTGCCTGCTGTCGGATTATGAAGGTATTTTAGTTATCATAATAATAGTAAGCTTAATAAATGTTAATTAGCTTATCAAAACTAAGGAACATCTATAGCAACAAAGCGACAATATGATATGACATTTTGTTAACAATTTTTCTTAACAATAGAATTTCCTTTATCAGAAGTTACTCTTGGATTATGTCTATTAAAGACATTTAGACAGGTAGACTTTTTTCAGTAAAATAATATATACCATAACATCACGCCTTTTATCCTCGAAGGGGTAGGCAGAGGTGCAGATTACGGCACATAATGCCACTGTACATACAATGTACACCCACTTTTTACTATTTATGTTATGAGTCCCATGTAATAGGGTGAGCCTATTGCCGTATAGGTACCGGGCACCATTCCAGACTTCATGCTACTACTGAGAATTTTTAAAAAATCCAGTATTACAGTATGATATATAATTGAAGTTCAAAATAAATAACACTTCTTTTCTGATAAGAATTGTTTAGTCTAGGTACTAAATATGTTATTTAAAAAATTATTTTGTGATTTCAGTGTCTCTGCGTGTTGGTTGGCCTATACTGCGGCTCAGTAGTTTGGTTTGCAAAGGAACTGGACCGCTTGCAACACGTCGCTTCTGGAGTTACTGGAGTCACGGCTGGGACACTACTGGGTTTGTTCACACTCGGCATTGTGTGTTCTAGAGCCAACTGTTCTGTAAGTAAAAGTAAATAAACATTACATAATTTATTTATTCTTTATTTCATACATACATACGTAACGTCAGGCCTGTTTCCCATGATTATGGAACGCCACCTATATTTCATAAGATATGAATTACTACTACTACTACTACAGAGCACTTATGTCTTACTGACCGAAAATTACTTAATCAATTATTTAATTTATATGGATCTTCTGAGCTGCAATATCACTCTAGATATAGTTTTCAAATAAGTTTACATTTTTAGTGACATCTATGTTCTAGTAGTTGTACTACATGAAACTCTATTATCTGCGCCTTCACACTTATCTTGGGCTGTCGATTTTTCTCTCCTCTGTCCTGTAGAGGGCACTGATCTGAAATAGTTCTTGTAATTTGAATAGAGATGGCGTTGTGATAAAATTTATAGTTTTATGTAACTAACTTGATAAACTTTTATTTATTTTATACATTTTGTTTATTTTTCTTTTAATTATATTTCAGGGAGCTCTAAGCGGTTGTTTATTAAGTCTGATACTGTGTGGGTGGTTACTTATTGGTGCAGAAAATGCTTTAGCGACGGGAGCATTGACCTTCCAGGGCAAGCCATTGACCATTTCAGGCTGTGGAAAAGCTAATTTCACAAATGTACTGGCGAACATAACCACTGTAGTTCCGAATGCTGCGTAAGTATAAATTTGTCAATTTTAGTTAAGAAAATTTTGTTTAGTTACTTGTTTCGTACCTATTTACTATATAACAATTTTATCTTTAAACTTTACCTGCCGCCTGTCGCCTAGTGCTTACTCATGTTCAATTTCTTACATGTATATTTTTACTTGTAAACTGCTAAAACCAATTTTATGAATTTTGGTAGACCATACAGGGATAATTAAGATAAGACATTTTCTTTCAAGAGCAAAGTTGTAGGCAAAAGCTAGTAGCTCGTGATACTATATTATTCTGTGCTACATTCATCAATCCACTGCAATGATCTTAGCAATTCCCTCTATGGGTCACAGATTAGTACATTATACTGATTGCATGTAAATTAGAAACGTCTCTAAACTGTATTTCAACTACAGTATGCTAGTATTACTTAGTTAGACATGCGGAGGTGTAGTGCTTCTGAACAGTACATTCACTGGGTTGGTTGGATAATGGGTAAACACCCACCTATTAATTATAAAGCGACAGTCTATTATAATTAATATACATACATACATACATAACTTCACGCCTGTCTCCCATTGGGGTAGGCAGAGACTATAGAACGCCAATTACTACGATTCCTACATACCTCTATCGCTTCATCAACAGTCATCAATCTTTTCATGCATGCTTGTCAGTTAAGGGTACTTTTAATTTGGCCCTTCTTTAATATATCGCCAATCTGGGCACTATATGTCCGTCTAGGGCGCCCTCTAACGACGGCCCTTTCGTATCCGCTCTGTATTCTTTTTTCGTTACTCTACTTTTATCCATCCTTTCTACATGTCCAAACCAGCGTAATATTCCCTTTTCATCTTTTATAATTATAATTAAATGAAGTTTAATATATTACTCATATAAGATCGCCTTATTGGCCGAGTGGTCGCATGAGCGACTGCCGGGTAAGGGGTCTCGAGTTCGATTTCCGGGTCGAGTAAAGTATTACTGGGTTTTTATAAGAAAAACTCAGTAGTAGCACGGAGTCTGGAAATGTGCCCAGTATAAGCAATAGACTCATCCTATTACATGGGACTCATAATATAAAGAATGAAAAGTGGGTGTTACATTGTACAGTGGTATTAAATGCCGTATTGTGCACCTCTGCTATGCAACGTTCATTCGGGTATAAAAGGTGTGTTGTTATGTTATGTTTAATATATTAAAAACTAGCTTCTGCCCGTAACTTCGTACGCGCTATGCCGTTTTCTTTCGTTCCCGAAGGATTTTCACGTTTTTTTATCTTAAAAACCTTCTCCTAATAAAAACAAACACAACAAAAAAAGAATTAGTGAAATCGGTCCAACCATTCACGCGTGATGCCGTGACAAACGGAAAACGGGTTTCATTTTAATATAATTACATAGATAAACTAATCGTGTCTACAAAATAAACATCCAAGAAGAATTCCTGTTTCCAAGAATATTTTTTTTTAATTTCGAAAAAGTTTTCAATGTACCTAGCCATGAAACTTAAGACCTTCTATTCAGAGGGCAAAATGGAAGGTTCCTAGAAACCTAATTAGCATGAATGCTATGGCATTTATTGAAAGAAGGGGTAGTGGACTTTATGAACTTGATAAAAAATATTAATTAGTCAAATATCAGATAGCAATAGACATTTTCTACTAGCTTCATCCGCGTAGAATATGATTCTTGTTTTCTCCCATGGGAGCATTTAATTGGGATAAAAAGTCCTACCATCTAAGTCAGCCCATACACTGCCTGTATACCAAATTTCATCAAAATCCGTTCAGTTGTTTCTGCGTTATTGACTGACAAATATTCAAACTAAGAAACTTTCACATTTATAATATTAGTGTGCTTAACTCAGTTCAACTTAGATTTACTGCTTCGTTGGCCGAGTGGTCACAAGTGCGACTACTGGGCAAGAGGTCTTGGGTTCAATTCCCGGGTCGAGCAAAGTACCTATTACTGGGTTTTAAAAAAATCTCAGTAGTAGCACGGAGTCTGGAATTCCCTATTACATGGGACTCATAACATAAATGGTGAAAAGTGGGTGATAAATTGTACAGTGGCGTAATATGCACCTCTGCCTAGCTGCCTATAAAAGGCGTGATGTTATGTTATGTTAACATACATTTATACCAGTTTATCTCACCCCCTATTACATGGGACTCATAATATAAACAGTGAAAAGTGGGTGTTACATTGTACAGTGGCATTAAGTGCTGCAATGTGCACCTCTGCCTACCCCTCCGAGGATAAAAGGCGTGATGTTATGATATGTCCAAAGCACAGTCCACAAAACGCAAGTTCATAATTTGCTGAGTCAAACTCGAAGCCAATTAAGCTTAGAAATAAAGACCGTATCATTTTATGACATAAGAAAACGTTTTTATTACATCTTACTTCACACTCCGTTTGTTTCCTAAGTCTGAGTTTTAATCTTTATCCGTGGTTGGATGCTGACTCAGTTTTATTTCCCCCCTTATTAAAACTTTACCCATATTACTATTACTCGATTTCCTAGTTCTTTTGCGAGTTTTCTCTTTGTGTGCAGTTTTTAATTCTTTTAAAAAGGATTTGTTAAAGTTATGCACGTGATTTGAAAGTATTATTGCATAAAGTAAAATTTTTTTGAGATAGCTATAAAATAAAAATTCTTTAATCTCCGACCGAGGTGTATATAAAGTTACTGGAGACACGTTGAGTACATAATTATGATTTCTCCTTACATCATACATACATCAACAGCCTATAAGAGCCCACTGCTGAACAAAGCCTCTTCTCACACGAAGAAGGTTTTGAGCATTAATCACCACGCTTGCTTCAACGATTTCAAACTTATAATTAGAAATTATAATTCCAGGTTCCCTCTCGATGTTTTCCTTTAACGTTTGTCAGTGGTGTCTAAATAACCTGAAAAAGTATATTTAACTCTGAAAACGTCACATTGGTACTGACCGTTGGTAGGTTTCAAGCCCGCACCATCATGCGTGGGAAACGGGTGTCTTAAACTCCGGGCCGCCATGACCTGACATTTCTCCTTAACATATACCAATTAGCTAAATACATATTTGACTTAAACTAAACAAAGCGACATACCCCAACATATTAATTTAAAATAGGTAATGTTTTAATTGGTAACACGAACAATCACAATAATTAATTTGTTACTTGCAATTTAGAATTGAATTTGCGTCAATTAATGTATATTGGTTTGCCATAAACCGCCTGTAACCTATTGCATGGTATATTAAATGTAGCGTTTAGAATATTCTCATTATAATTAAATTATCATTAGTATCATTGCTAAATATTAATATAGCAATTTGATATCAATTATAAAGTTTGTTTTCTGTTAATGATAGATCACTAAATGTTAAACCTGGTGCATAATAATTATAGCGATCTAAAACTGTAGAAGTGAAAATTCTGTACATTCAAATTAAAAAAAAAGAAATATTGGGCATGTTATACAGATAGCGAAGCAAAAAACGTGATTAAAAAAAATTGTCTGTCTGTCTATATGTTCATGCATCACGCATTTCAATCAAACTTGGTATATTAGGTATACTTTAACATCGTGGGCACGACACTGGGCAGTTTTTATTATAATATTTATTTGTGAAAAGTCAACAACATAAAAGTCCACGATATCACGATGTCTAACTATTACATTTATGCCATAATAACTCCTTTTTACCTAAAAATGTGCAATATCATCGCACCACCGCTCCGGTACAAACCTCCGTATTAATACTAGATTAATATTCCGGAAATCCCAGTATAACGTTATTATTAACTATTCGTTAAATCCCGGGACTCTATATATTTAATTTTATTTAGAAAAAAAGCAATATTCCATTATAAAGGTCGTCCCTAAAGTCGACGATCAAATGACATCAGAATGGCCAAATGGTTTCAACAATTATGAGAAAATTATGGAAAAAATTCTAAGTCAGACAGATTTTAAATTACAATGAATTGTGTGTTGTCCACGAAACGAACCCACAAACGACACGACTAAAATGACATATACGATAGAGCCGGCCGACACGACCGACACGATCGCCACGATAGATACGGCAGACACGATACATACAACAGACACGACAGACACGACCGACGCGATCGAAACGACAGATACAACAGACACGACCGATACGGCAGACACAACCTACACGACCGACACGACTGTTATGACAGACACGACCGACGCGATCGAAACGACAGATACAACAGATACGACAGACACGATTCATACAACAGACACGACAGACACGACCGACGCGAGCGACACGACAGATACGACAAATACGACCGACACGACAAATACGACCGTCACGACAAATACGACCGACACGACAGATACGACCGATACGACCGACACGTCAGATACGACCGATACGACCGACACGACAAATACGACCGATACGACAAATACGCCCGACACGACAAATGCGACCGACACGACAAATGCGACCGATACAACAAATACGACCGACACACTAAATACGACCGACACGACAAATACGACTGAAACGACAAATACGACCAACACGACAAATACGACTGACACGACAGATACGATCGATACGACTGATACGACAGATACGACTGAAACGATAAATACGACCGACACGAAAAATAAGACCGACACGAAAAATAAGACCGACACGACAAATGCGACCGACACGACAAATACGACAAACGCAACAGACATGACCGACACGATAAATACGACAGATACGACAGACACGACCAATATGACAGATGCGATCGACACGACAAACACGACCTACATGACCGATACGACAGATACGACAGACCCGACTGACACGACGAATACGACAAACGCAACAGGCACGATAGACACGACTGACACGACAGGTACGACTGACACGACTAAAATGACCGACACAAAAGATACAACAAATTCGATAGACGCGACGTATACGACAGAGAGCCTCACTCAAATATACAATGAAATAATGTAGAGGCACATGTATACGTTTAAACAGATGAATTAAATTGTAGTGTCTGTTTTTAATATTGAAATAACCGGTTTTATTACATGTATATAGATACGATAAATAGGTATACCAAAATAAAACTTTTTACAATTTTTATCTGTCTGTTTGTACTGACTAATCTCTAAGGCTGAATGGGTTTTGACGGTACTTTTATTAGCAGGTAGCTGATATAGAAGTAGAAGTAGGCTACTTATATTTAAAAAAAAACGCAGACGAAGTTGCGGGCACAGCTAGTTATAATTAATAAAATTCTTTCTTGTTCATACAAACTGCATTGTTGGTTAAGTGGTCGCAAGCGTGAGTCAACAAAGCTGCATTTGTAGCGTCCATTTCAGGGTTGTCTAAAATATAATTAGTGCAGTTTTCGATTTCTGAATGTTCAATGTGGCTCAATCAGAAAGATATTGCCACAAGCCATTGTGGCAATGTCAATAAATTATATTGATCCTTATCCACTGATTTGAAGAATAACAAAGGTGATCTTAGATCTTCACGCGTGTATCTGGACCTACCTATATCTTATTCATCATTTTGACTGCACGGTTAGCATGGTGGCTGGGCAACCACTGCCACGACTGCGACGCAACGTGTAACTGGTTCGATTTCCGCACGGAATAACTCTTTCTGTGATCCACAAATTGTTATTTCGGGTCTGGGTGTCACGAGAAAATCGTTTATTCGTAATTTATTTTAGTTATTCAAATTTTCCTCTATTGATTAACATAATCAAACTAAAACAACGCTCTATATTCACAGCAACCAGTTACCGAAGAAACCATTGCAGTCACTATTCCGAATATCCTTCACTTACTGTCCGTTTGCCGGAGCCGTATCAGTACTCTTAATTGGACTCCTAATGAGTTATCTCACGGGAAAGTCCAAGTCTGACTCAATGAACCCCGACGTGTTCTGCCCATTAACCCAGAGTATTCTTCACAAATCAGCGATTAGAAGTCCCACGGCATCTCTGGAAACAAGACCGAATAACACCCAAGAAGTTTACGTGGCATTGGACGAAGCTCTCAAGCATCTGAAAGAAATTATTGATCGATAAATATATTTTTGGACTGGGTTCCTTGTTTTATTTGTTGTTATGATTTGTCTATTAACAATTTAATGTTAAAGCTAAAATTTGTGTTAAAATTCAAAAAAGTATAATCAATTCCTCTGGCAATACTTCCTTGTATTTTTCGTGAGGACACCACCATAGGTTTAACCTCGTAGCGCTGCGAGATCATGATAAAATATCAGTCACAAAGCAATTCAAGTCAAAAGCCTAACATCTAACAATTGACATAAAGATGTCGAAAATTGTTGAAACATTTCGAAGACATGTTCGATTAATGGGCAAAATGTGAATGCGATTTCACGTGCCGGTACTCACGGCAAATTTTTACCATTACCTTTTATTATTTATTCACAATGTTACGATAACATATTCGATGTCATTATGTCAATGAAAATTCTGTGAATATTTTTTGTTTGATTTAACTCGCGATTATTCCGCGTTAATGCGAAAATTTGAAGCTGTTTATGCATGTCAATTTGTTTCTTTTATTTTGGTAAAGCAGCGTGAATTGTAACATTTTGTGACATGCTGTTTGGGCCTAATGTAATGACGCACATAAGTATTGAATGTACTCACTCATGTTTTATCTGACTAGGCTTTGTATATTACTTACAGAAATTTTGTATAAAAATCGTCTTATACATATGTATTTGAAAGAGTTTATTGAATAAACATTTAGGCTTCCCATCTCATTAGTTTTAAATAATCAAAGTCCCGCTTGTCTTGAGACGGTTATTTCATGTAAACCAGAACAGCTTTGAAGAAACAGCTTTAAAAGATAAGACAGACATAGTACACTAAAGCCATTTAGTCCCGAAACCATATCACGGGCTGTTGGCACCGTCATCCACAAAGCAAGTCTCGTCTCTTCACCGCCACAGACATTGTTTTCTATAAGACAAAGAGAAAACATGCACGGTGGAGGTGCGTGCTACGTTTTAGACACGCCACATTAATTCCTAGACCGCAACTCAGACTGAGAGCCTACTGTCTCGAGTACCATCCTCATCGTCATAACGTCACAACTACATAAAGGTGAACAAGCGAAATTGAGGCTATGGAGCTTCAAGGCAGGGTTTAAAATGGTTTAATGAGAAATCAAGGATGTAACTTTATTGGTCTCATTTGTTGCTTTTTAGACTAGAAAATTGAGAGTGCCTTCGAGTGACTCCTAAAAGAAAACGTATGTAACTGTAATGAAGCACGATTTTTTCATGTTCAACCCGTGTCCGCGATTTGTATTTTCTTTTTTTGCGTTTTGTTAATTATGTAAACGTCTGTTTCCCCTTTTCCATTATATTGGATGTAGACGTAAGTTCTATTATATTAGTGGAGAGGTTGTAGTTCTCTTATTTTGCTCTTTTCTTTTGTTTTTAATTCGTCTCGATTTCAATCTGAGTAAATCTCGAGCTCGTTGTGGATATTACATCTTTTGGTTTGCTTTATTTTATGCAAGTACAGGGGAAGGTTCTTTGAGTCTTTTTTCGAAATTTTCTTAAAGAAATATGAACTTATTATCTATAACAGTAACACATTACCAAACCCTAAAAATTTTATAAAACATTTTATCACAACACAGAGTTCAGATAAACCGAATACTGAAATAATAGAGGTATTCAGTCATTTTTGTCGACAAATGCATAAACCTATTTCTGCGGTTGACTATATGAGTACGTGCAAAAATACCGCGGGCGATATTACATACTGGACGTGTTGGTGGAAAATCATAACAAAGCCAAATTAAGCCTTATTGACGATGACACTACACTATCACGTTACATTGAAGGATCGAAGCGGCTAGACGCATACGTCACTCTGTTGTGCCCAGGAATTAATGTCCCATACCACTGCAACCCCAAGAAAAGGCTTACTGCTGCGCTAATCGGCCATTATCATTTATGAAATATTACGAATGAACTGTGAACACCCTTTGTTTCACCATGGAACGTAAATGGGTGATATATGTATGGTGCTTTAGTTAAGCGTTTTCGTGGTGATTTTTAGCTCTCAGTAGTGATAAAGCTGATGTTTTTTTAGATTTTTCCGTAGCTTTGAATTGAAAGCATTTTTGTGTGTGTCTCTGAGTAGTTTTGGGTGATCTTTTGTGTGCTTGTGTTTCCAATAATAATACGAGCAGACGAGATGGACAAAATGAAATTAAATAATACTCTCAACCCGTTCCCAAGTATCTTTGTATCATTTAACAGTATTAGCGTATTTTTATCCTTATTTCATTTTCGTATTGCATAATAAATGAAATGCAAAGAATTATCATTTCAAAGTTGAAATATTTTCCTTTTTTTATTGTATTACCTACAATACTCTCCCTTTCCGAGAAGGTGACAAAGAAAGCAATAAAAATATTCATATTTTATGCACAAAGGGAAAAAGATGGGAGCCTTTTTAAAATCAGACTCGAAAAGTTAATAGGAAAATGTACCTTAAACGAGCTGATTGTTAGGCACTTGACACAAAAAATTGAAACACGAGTAACAACGTCGTCGAGGAAGTCAATAAAATTAGTCTCGAGTCACTTCTGAATGCTGTTCTCTCGCCTACCGCTACATTTTGACTTATTTTGACGGATAAAATATCACTTATTAAACAACCTTTATAAACGGAGATTCCACGGCACTCTAAAGTAACTTAGAGTAGCAAATGGGTATATCAGCTGTATAAATTCCGCTGAATATTTACATAAAATTTTACTGCGACGAAACCTGTGTTTGGACTATTTCATCTAATGTTGTGCTGATAGTAGAAATTGGGCGTTATGCTAAAAGTTTTAGAATTTAAAGTTGTTTGAAAGATTCTGGAGTTGTCGTTGCTATTAAAATGTATGAAGCTCGCGTGGTTTACACGAGTTAGTCTTGTAAGAAATCAATTTCTGTGTTGATATCGCCTTATATTTTTATGATAGGAGCGTATTTGCTCGAGAGCGTATTGAAATATTTCAGTATGTCTTATATTATTTTAAAAAACTTAGCTCTTTAATCTAGGGAGGAGTGTATGACATATGTCTCCCCCGGTAATGACATTATAGTAACTACGTCCGCCCAGTTCTGAATAGCCCATTTCGTAAAATTTGTTTTCTTAAAATGCATTACCTATACAAATATGAATTCACTTTATTGCAAGTATAAATAAAGACAAGTTATTATATATGACTGCGTAAAGGTAAAGCAACAGAAGTGACTGCTTTCGTTTAAAAATTGGATAAACAATAAAAACTTCCCCACTTCCTTTACTCGAAAACAAAACGAAGATCTAAAATGAATTAGATTTCCAAAGAAAACATATCAGACGGGGACCGCTGAAATAAAATCGGAGGAAGGACATAGCTAACTAAATCAATTATATTACTAGGATCAATTCGATTCCTTTAGTCTCACGAAACGAATCCCATTCGGATGGAAGCATTTCCTTGAAAAACTTTTCAAAAGGTTTTCTTTCAAGAACCAAACAGAATATTCTGTTTACAGAAATAATTCATTTATTGGTTATTTGTGAATATGGTGAGGGCTTCATTTTAATAAATTCCCGTATTATAGTATTTTTTTCTATTAGATAATAGAACCATTTTTCATTAGACGCATCGATTAAATCATTAGATGTTTTTTATAAGGGGGGAAAATCATCGAATGTCTTCTCTCGCTTGGGTGAGCCGGCAGGGAGTGTCAGACTTTTACTGACTAAAAACCACCCCATTCCTTCGAATGGGGTGGTTTAGTCAGGAGAAGTCCTACGCTTCGAGCCGGAGCCCCGGTAACCCGTTAGGTTCTCTGCGACTCCGAATCGGCATCAGCCCTGTTGGGCCCCATCCGTGGTGGTCTAATGGCTCTTTCAGGCGCACGCGGAACGCGACGCGCCGTACGCTCGGGTCTGTTTCTGGTCGGACGGGAAGCCACCCATGCTCGCCGTCCGCAGGCCCGCGCTTAAGGCAGTGCTCAGCCCACGCAAGGCATTCCCACACTGTGTGTTCCACAGTGTCTTCAGGGCGGTCCTCGCAGTGAAGACAACCAGGCGTTTCCTCCCACTTCATCAGACAAATGTACCTCCCGAAACATCCATCTATGGTGAGGACCTGCGTCAAGCGGTAGGTGAGGACGCCGTAGCGTCTGTCAAGGCACTCCTCAAAAAGGGGAATTACCGCTGCAATGGCAGCGAGCCCAAAATCATTAGGGTTGGAAGCAATTTAAAGATGTATAACGTGGCAAACAAAGAGAGGCCCTCTGCTTATGATTCTGCTGTCTTTTAACTTGTGGCGATGACAGTTTTAAGAATTCTGTTTAACTATTTTGTTCTGTTTTTTTTTCACTTGGTTACTTCTAATTATAATATGCTTATAATTATAATGTGTTTTTTCATAAATGTCACAACCATAGGGTTTAGAAATACCTATACAAAATTAATTATCTTCAACGTTTAAAATGGCCCGAAGACAGTTTAAAGGTTAAGTTCTAAAATATTTCGCTTTCCACCTTCTGCCTTTCATTGTATAGGATGGTACAGACTTTCCAATTTATTTAAACCCTCAAGCCTTCAGGGTAATAAATAAAGGTTAATGACAGAAACAGTTCGGACCATAACAAGGGTAACAATTAGAAATAACAACCGTTTTAAACATTAACAAGAAAAAAGTGAACTTAAGACTTTGTTTCGACACAAACATGGCGCCTCATCAACATCACGCCTTTTATCCCCGAAGGGGTAGGCAGAGGCATCACGGCACTTAATGTCACTGTGCAATGTAACACTCACTTTTCCCTAATTATGTTATGAGTCCCATGTACCCAATAGGGGGTAAGCCTATTGCCATATACCATGTGCCTGGTATATGGCAATAGGCTCCGTGCTACTACTGAGATTTTTTTTTAAAACCAGTCATAAGACTGCCTCATTTGCGACCACTCGGCAAATGAGGCAGTTTTATTTCAAGCTGACTGCACGGTTGGCGTGGTGGCTGGGCAACTGGCTGCCGCGCAACGTGTCGCGGATTCGATTCCCGCACAGAGCAACTCTTTGTGTGATCCACAAATTGTTGTTTGGGGTCTGGGTGTCATTATCTGTATGTCAACTTGTATGTTTGTAAACGTACCCACGACACAGGAGAAAATTCTAGTGTGGCTTAAACTTTAAAAAAAAATTGTCTTTATTTCAAGTTTTTTCAATAATCTAAAAACCATAAATATACCTCTAAATTATTAGGTCATGAGTAGACAATTTCATCTGGATTTTATAAAGAAGTTAGCTTAAGAATTGTGTAGTACACCCACTATTCAAGTTAATATACATTTCTAGATAATTTTTCACTAACATTGTGTACCTATTAATATAGTAGGATCACAAACTAAGTCCTTACACAGATGTAACTCAATTACTCATTCTCATAACATTTTTTCTACATCCATAGCAAAATGTACATTATCTAGGTAATTTTCTCTGGGAAATGAAGTGGGCTGACAGTCGTATAGTTAACAAGATTGGTTCGTGTTTAGAATTCAAGATTCGTAGCTCGTTCCCCGATGTGTTTCATTAAGTTCACCCGTGACGAGTAACACAATGTTTTTCAGAAACGTTTTATTGCGTCCAAGGTTATATGTTTTAATGCTAACAACCTTTTTTATTTCGGCAGTTAATTTGAAAGAGAAATAAAAGTGGTTCCTTAAAATTCTAGGACGATTGTAAAGTTTGGTTGGTTGTGTGAGGATACGTCTTTTTTATTGCTCTTGACTTGGGAGACGATATTGTTGTGTTTTTAGAGCTTTTAATTTTATACTAGTCCTTTGTATTTAATTTATTCATATCTGTGAACGACTGCATTGTTCGTGGAGGGGTCGCAAGTGCGACTGCCGGGTAAGGGGTCTCGGGTTCGATTTCCGCGTCAGGCAAAGGTTTACTGGGTTTTTAAGAAGTAGTAGCACGAAGTTTGTAATTGTTGCCGGTATATGGCAATAGGCTCACTCTCTATTAGATGGGACTCATAACATAAATAGTGAAAAGTGGGATAAAAGGCGTGATGTTATGTTGTAAAAGAATTAGATGAATTTGTTCATTTTCTTTTTTTAATTATTTACTTCATTCTTTTATTATTTCTTAAGTGTTGCTGTAAATTATACGGCTACCTACGGTTATATTATAATGAATGACACAAGCATAAGTGTGTGTGTGAGTCAGTCTCTATGAACCTTAAAATATTTCCTTAACTGGGAGTCCGAACCTACTGCAATAACGATTCCATTTGAAGTCTGCAGTTATTCAGCTAGAAGAAAATTATCCTAACTTCCATCCACTATATTAAAATTTAAAAAATGTTTCCATTTAAATTATGAGAACACTTTATAGCCACGATAGCTGTTACGTCCTGAGAAATTGAATTTCGTCGGCGTGGTTCGCCTGCTGATTGCTTTCCACTGAATCAGCCATATTTCTTAGACCTGACTTGTCATATCAGAGACACTGTTCCATATTTTCTAAACCCTGATTCAATTTGAAGTTTATAGGGATTAGTTTTCCTACGTAGGTAGGTTTCATCAATAGGTTTCATATCGCCAATTGTTGTAAAAAAATGCGACGTATTTTTCTCTCTATAAAATCACATTAATCTTAATAGTATTTATAGAATATTTATATGTTCTGTGGAATAGACATTATGAATTGTAAGTTAATATAATAATAAATACTTCGTATTATATTATTAGTACGGTCAACAATAAAAGTTGATGAACACATATAGTTTTTCAAAATCGCTGTACATCATATTATTTATTTATTTATTTATTTATAATCACAACAGTGTACATATTGAGTTTATAACCTTTTCCCACAAAACCGGTTTAGCGGTTTGACTGTGGGTGGTGAGCCGCATTGCTTTACATACACTTATATATTGTATAAACTACTAATAACATTATAACTATTCAAGTATTTTACAGAAGTATTTCTTTAACTTAATTTTAAACAGTCTTATGTTATTTTCTTGTCTGATGTCGATGTACATCGCTGTACTGACTCACTCTGACTGTACACACTGTATAGTAAATCCATCAATATGACAAGCGCCAGAAATAAATAATTATCTTGTGTTGCATTTAAGGTGCTTGTCATATTCCCCGATTTAGGTATAATTCGGAGAACAGCGATTTTGAAAATTTAAATGTGTTCATCAACTTTTAATACTGACCGTACTTAAAAAATGTCCATGTAATATTCGTAACATATTAATAATGTGTAAGAAGTCAAGTTTTTCTAAACAAAAAATAGACACTTTTGTAAACTTAACAAGTCTAGCAAAAAATAGACGTATTTGAAATATTAATTCATGGCTATTTTGATACTGCTAAATATAGCCTTATAATTTCCAAATCATATTTTAAAAAATATATTTAAACGTTTTTGAAATGTTAATTCATGTCTATTTTGATATTGCTAAATATAGCCTTATAATTTCCAAATTATATTTAAACAGGGACGACTGAAATAAAAAAAATGGCGACTTATAAAATAAGTCGTCAACTTCGATTTTCGACCTCTTTTGGAAGCCGGAAACATTTTTAATCGACTTCGAGAAGGTTTCCAATTTGGGTGTATTTTTCTGAACATAATCTTAAATCGTACTTATGAAGTCATTATAAAAATTAATAATTTCACGTCGAAAGCTGATTATATTCATGAAAGAATAGCCTTCGGTGTTTTTGAATTGTGCTCGTATTTTTATGTACAATTTCGTCGTGATCTTTGCGTTTGATATTTTCGTCTTATTTTCTTTTGTATTTTAGAAAATTAATCGGCCGTGTATTAAACAAGTTGTCAGACACAGAGATTATGATTAAACGAGACAAAATTTAATTTATTCTAGCTCTTGATAAATTCATAAAATGGATCAAATTGTTGTTTAAGATTTTCTCGCGTTGCTTTTAAATAAATTTCTGTTTTAGTCATAATTATGTCATATTTTATAACGTCTGTTAACATGTAAAGCTGCTTACATATTCCCTTACTTAAAAGTCCATTATAATTATTACTGCAGAAATAAATCAGACCAAAATAATGATTCTGTATGTACATTATTTTATTTTTAATATGTATTATAATTATCGTGAGATATACTAAATTAATGATTATGTTTTTCAGGTTACTCACGTAATTATTTGACGAGAAAAGAGCCATGCTAGTGACTTGTAACTGGTCAAGTTTGCTCTAGCATCGCTTGAAACTAGTCAAATTTGTAGTCAAGTACGAGAGTTAAAAACAAAATTATTTATTTATTTTTCATCTTGAGTTTTTTCTAGGTCAACATGAATTTGGTGTGATCTTCTATTATTTTGTGTAATAATATAATAATATGTTTGAGACTATAATTTTGAACTTTTTATATACCTAATTTAGATTAGTTTTTCTTACTCATACATAATACATAGAAATAATATACAATATGTATGTACAATTTATTTAATGTAGATAACTTTATTACAAAATAAATTACTAGAATTTACTTAAAGAGCATCTGTTAACTTTTCCGTTGTTTTTATTTAATTACAATAATTCACAACGATCTATCAATCAAATAAACATTAATAAAGCGAACATTTTTTTCCAACAATAAACAGACATTATTTATCCGAATAAGGTCATAAAGTCATCCGCTTTATCCATACAGTACAATAAACTCAGCGCAGTGACAGTGACGTCTAGTCTCGCGTAACACATAAATGTAACTGACAATGTCACGATTATAGCGTTAGTCGATTACACAGTGGCAGCGCAGGCGCACGTTTTTGCATTTAGTCACACAATTTTATTGATTTTTTTGTAATTGTATTGTTTTGAAACATGGAGTGGCTTATCACAGAAGATGGTGAGTATTTATTTGATTTATTTTCGATATAGTTTTGTAATTAAATATGCTAGTGATGTTTTGTTATAAAGATTGAGTTTGTTGCTATTACAAAACCGGCCTCTATAATAATAAATGTTACCGTAACTATGTTACTTCATAAATAACGCTGTTGTGTGTCAATTGGCTCTATACAAAAGGTGACGAGTTCTTATAGGTTAATCGGTGAGGTATGAGTACTAGCTCTCTCTTTAAAAGAGTTGAAAATTGAATTCTGTCGGGGTTTCCAACCACCAATAAGGTGTGAATAGTAGTTTAAATATTGACATTATAATAAGTAAATACCATTACACGTGTCATAGAGTAGTACCTTCTTTGTTTACAACAACAACTTTCATTGCCTTGCGTTCGCCTATACGTTTCACGTAATGGTACAATTTTTTAATAGGTTTACAACTCATTATATCTTGAAATAGAATTGAAAATCTATTGTATTCATCAGCTTGAAGTCAAAGAATTTTTACTATCTAAATAATTGTCGTTTATTACAAATTGTATATTTAACTATCAACACATTGTTTATCTAAATAAACTCTGATAATAAATTATTTACATAAGGTAAGTAGGTAATCCGACCAAACCGATAATTATAATCTTATATCTATATAAATAAAAAATGATTTCCGTTCGTTAGTCTCGCTAAAACTTGACTAATTTTAGTCTTGAAATGTTTATAAAAATCCAAGGTAGGTTTAAAAGGTGAGATTTTTTTTTAGCGAAGTCTGTTGGATCAGCTAGTTTTATTGTATAAAACTAAAGAGTATCTATGTTTGTTTGAACGCATTAGTCTCCAACTGCAACTGATCCAATTTGAATGATTATTTTTGTGTTGGATAGAGCATTTATCAAAGTAGGCTATAGGCTATAAAACATCATGTTCGGTTCAATAGGAGCCGAGCACAGCGGGAAAAATCGCGCGGGATTGTTAGTACATAATATTTATCATGATGAAGTCGGCGTTGGCTTGGCGGCAACAGTGTAATTATCAAACAATTGGTTGCGAATTCATCCCATGTGACGAGTATTGTATGTATTGAAGTTTCTATTTCATAACTCCAGTTACTGGTATAGTCAAGAATTAGTATAAGTTTGGTCAACGTTCCTAATGGATAATATCAAGAAATTATGTGTGCACGGTTGACGCAGTGGCTGGGTAACCGGCTGTCGCGCAATATCTAGCGAGTTTGAATCCTGTACAGAGCAACTCCTTGTGTGGGTGTCTTGTATGTGAACTCTTATATTTGTAAACGCATCCGCGACAAAAGAAAAAGCCTAGAACGGGGCAACGTTTAAAAAAATAGTGGGGTGTATATCTCTTTATATGTGTACTCTCAAGTTACAGAATATTCTGATAACATCTCAACTCATTTCTTTTAACTATTGTTTCCACTATCGCTATTTCTAAATGTAAGAATAACTAGTATTGCTTTAACTTACAATTTCCTGATTACAATAATATTAAAAAACTAGCCCCTGCCCCACGGTTTCACCCGTTTTTCGGTTCCAATTAATCGTAGCACAAAGTTTTAAATCCTATAAGACAAAAAGGATTATTCAATTCGATCCAGTAGTTTCAAAGATAGGTCCAACATGTTGTATAACATAACATCACGCCTTTTTATCCCCGAAGAGATAGGCAGAGGTGCACATTACGGCACTTAATGCCACTGTACAATGTAACACCCACTTTTCACGTTATGAGTCCCATGTAATAGGTGGTGAGTGAGGCTATTGCCATATACCACAATTCCAGACTCCATGCTACTACTGAAATATCTTTTAAAACCCAGTTATATTTTTCCCCGGGAATCGAACCTGAGACCCCTTGAGGTAATTATAGTCATCATGTTATAGGTACTTATAGTATATAATTTATACTATAGATTAAACTGTCAAACACCAAGCGGTCACCGGTGACCGCGACCTATTGTTCTTTAATTGTGTCTATAAAACCGGTACTCGACGAGTTAATGGATATATTCTACCATATTTTTATGTTTGCTTGTTTCCATTAGCTAATAGAAAATAGTCTGGTGTGATGTGAATGTTCAATACGTGGGGTACGTATGTATCAACTCTTTTTAAAAAATAGAAGCCCAAATTCATTCGAAATTCCTATGGTTTTTGAACAAGACGAACAAAACTCCACAAAGCGGCGATCCCACTTGCTTTTCTCTTTTTGTGGGTACTAGAAACGACAATGTACAGTTTTCAGATTTGGAAACTATCCGTTCAAAGCGTAGAGGGCCTTTGAGATATTTTACGTAGCAATACCAATAGTTCTTGTTGTTTAAAAACTTTTTCGGGTACCTTTATAGATTTTAGGAGAGTAGTTCATTCTATTTTGGACTTATTGGTTATTAATTTAAAAACTCTTGTTTGTAGTTAAACAATAGAAAATGAAATATACATAGCAAAACGTAGTCATATAACATCATGCGTTTTAATTACTACACTCACAGTACCTACTGAACAGATATGTTATGAGTCTTATAAAAATAAATATATTTTTGAAGAACTTAATGTGTGTGTGCTTCGGCACGAATGGGCCGGCTCGACCGGAGTGATGCCACGGCCTCATGAAAACCGACGTGAAACTACGCTTGCGTTGTGTTTCGTCATGTGAGTGAGGTTACCGGAGGCCCAATTACCCCCCTCCCTAGTCTCCCGAATTCCCGAACCCTCCACAAACGTCAAATTCTCAATTCTCTTCTCGTCAAAGTCTGGTAACGCACTTGAAACGCCTCTGGTGTTCCAGGTGTACATGGGCGGTGCCGATTGCTTACCATCAGGTGATCCGTCTGCTCCTTTACCGGCTTATGCTTTAAAAAAAACCGATATATCACAATACCTGGCTCATCTAGGGACCGCAACCTGTAAACCCATTTTACTTAGCAGTTGTACTTCATCATCATCAACAGCCTATAAACGGTTGACTGTTAGAGAATGCCACCCGGCATTAAGTCCGCCATCGTATGCTTAATATACAGAAGTGTTAATAATAAATGCCCATTGCTGGGCAAAACCTCTTTTCACGCGGTGAAGATTTGAGCATTAACCACCACGCTTGCTTAATACAGGTTGGTGATTTCAAACTTATAATTAGAAATTATAAGCCCAGGTTTCCTTACGATGTTTTCCTTCGCCGTTTGTCAATTGTGTCTTAATAACCTTAGAAAGTACATATAACTTCAAAAAGGCACATTGGTACTTGCCGTTGGTAACATTCAAACCAGAACCTTCATGCATGAGAAGCGGGTCTTAAACCTCCAGGCCACCAAAACCACGTTCAGTTCTTATGATCTCTCAAATCTCAATACTCAATGATGCAATTATTGTGCAATCTTAACAAAAAGCGAACAATATACATAAAACTTAAAATACAATTTTGTAAACCACTTGTATTTTTGTTACAGGAAAGTACAGAATAGAATCTCTATCAGCTGCTACTTTCCCCGGGGCATTACGAGTGAGTATTTTCTGTAAATACAATAAGACTATTTAGTTTCGTCTCGCCTCAACATTGCATTGAAATGTCTGAATAAAATAAATGTTATTTGAATGAGGAAATGAATTGAAAAATAATAATACATTTCTGAATGTTTTTTTTATAACTTGCTTCTCTATAGTGACCATGGTTGCTTAGTACAAGTAAATTAAATTGGGTATTAAATTTGGGTTTTAGCAAAATGATGCATATTCGATTGTTCAATAAATTCTTTTGGGGATTAATAATGCTTGATTATTCTACAATATTTAATTAAGATGCTAAAAACTATTACCTAAAATATGTTCTAGGTTATAACAGAATCTTTCTGCCAAGATGAGTCTGTGAGTATAGGCACAGAAGTAAATAAGAATCCCGTGGCTGCAGAAGAGCTGTTAGAATTGTGCGCAGATGCAGCACTGGATGGCGTGTCCTTAGTAGCTGTCGCTATTGATAGCGGAGAAGTTGTATCTGTTGCTTTCAATAAAATACAGGTAAATAAATATAACATTACATTCATCATCACGCCTTTTATCCCTGAAGGGATAAGCAGAGCTGCACATTACGGTACTAAATGCCACTGTACAATAAGACCTACATTTCACTATTTATGTCATGCGTCCCACATAATAGGGGGCGAGCGAGCCTACTACTGAGATTTTTTTTAAATCCCCGTATTACTTTGCCCGACCCGGAATCGAACCTAAAACCCCTTGCCCAGTAGTCGCACTTGCAATTGCTAGACCAATGAGGCAGTCAAATAAAAGAAATTGTTTATTAAAATTTCTATTATTAATACCTATAAAAGTGAATATAGTATGTTCGTATTTTTTTAACACGAGTATTTTACACTATGGAACAAATAATTACCTAACTTAATAGAAATATTTACTCATGAATCTGCCTTAACTCGTAATTCATAAAACAGGTACCTAAGTACATCAGAAAGTATTTGTTGATAGGATATTGTTTGTTGATTATGTCAATCCCACCACTTTTTTGTCCCTTATACTAAAATATACCGTTGAAAACTATACATTAACTCATTTATTTTCAAAATAAAAATTAATAATATTTACAATGACTTTTCACATTAAAACTTTCGTAAGACATTCTAAATTAATTATTATGTTTTCGGCTTACTCACGTAACGTGTTTGAGGAAAAACTCGACTAGTTTCAAGCCATGCTAGGGGCTCATATCCATGAGAAGCATTCCCCGACACGCGACTTTTCATACGTAAATAATGCGACAACTCAACTTAAACATGAAAACAATAATAGCTGCTAATCACCTTATCTAATTTTTAAATAGAACTTGAAAATAATTATACAGTTCCTAACTAATTATCTCAGTAATGAATACTAAGCCGCTACTTTGTTATTTTAATTCGTTTCTGTAACACTCGGAATATCGATATGTAAATGAGACAGTAACTTTAACGAAGAAAAACATTAAGAGATAAAGAAAAAAATTTCTTGAAATAAACTGTAATTTAGTCGAGGTTTAAATTTGTTATTGTTAGTAAGTACTGCTGAATAATTTACTAGTTTCGGGTTTGTCCCATCTCACTAATTTCTGTCGTGAAGGAATATTTTTATGGTATGATTTTGGAATCAGAATCAAAATTCTGGAGATGTAAAGAGATTAGACATTGGAGACTGATATTACCTTTATAACCGACTTGAATAAAAGAAGGAGGATCTCAGTTGGACCTGTGTGTATGTATTTTTGTGCGTGATTATCTCGCGATTAGTTAAATCGATTTTGATAAATATAAATACATTTATTTGTGTAAAAAATAGTATATAAAGGTGTTATAGTTACAATAGATCATCATATTTTGCTTAATAAATAGAGCATGCAAATTTTTACTTATAACTTATTTTAACTTACTCGTAGTTATAGGTTCTATCTTATTTATTATCAAAAAATCCTTAATCCTATAAAAGTTATTTTCATTATTTCATTAAATAGTCTGAGTTTTTATTTTATTTTAAACATATCGTATTTTTAATGTACTCGGCAATTTATTAAATATTCAGACACATATAGATAGGCAACTTTCAGAGAATAGTACGGTTTTCAGATAAGGTTTTTGTTATACTTAGGAGAAGTTTTTAGTATACCTCTATAAGTAAACCGACCTCAAAAAAGAGGGTGCTGAAGTCGGGTTTTTTATACAGTAGTTTATAAAAAAAGTATTGTATCTTTGACCATGCGGTATAACCATGGGCATATAAATTTTAATAAAATACTACAATTAAGCATACGGATACCAAATGAATTAAATTGTATGTCAATAAGGATTATTTTATCTTTTTAGGTGGCAACATCAGATTCTTCAGAAAAGCCTTTCTTTGAAATATTCGCAGAAGAACGTTGTACCCAACCATCATCGCGAGCTCTAATTGAGTGGATGGCAGAAGTTGACGGCAAATGTAACTTCTTTGAGAAGTAAGTAAGATTGGTTGATTTTTTTTTCTGAATTCTAAATTTGAATTCTAAATTGTAAAAGTATTCTCTAATTTCAAGAACTCTCTGGAAGTTACCACTAGAATATTTCTTAGTTGTGGAGAAAATGCCCTAGTAAATATTCCTATAAGGTAAAGTCAAAGTCAAAGCATTTATTTGAATTAAACCATAATTTGGTACTTTTGAAACGTCAACAAATACAAAATAAATAATAGTCTGTCAGTCGGGCCTCTTCGATGGCACGCCACTGAGCTCGATTATCCAGCCACTTTGCTCCGTTACTCCACCTAGCTGGAGGAGCCCTACCACTGTAGGGCGCATCAGAGTAGTCACTGATGACGTTCACCATGAGCGGTTGTTGATGATGGCTCACGTAATAGATCAATTATTTATATAGGACATTGCACTTATCTTAGCTGGAAGAGTGCTAACAGTGATGGTAGTGTGTTTGTCAAAACTCTGATTTATCTCAGACGATCTCCCAAAAACAGAAACAAATTGGTTGTCATACACCTATCAATGACAGCTGTCGTTATAAAAATTAAAAAAAATTACAACGGTTCTAGCCTTATGTCCTATACCCTTAGCCGGTTGTAGAGGATAAAAGATTGATATTCAGCCAAAGCCAATTAACACCAACCAAGGCCAAAAAAGGGTCAGAAAAAAAACACATAATAATAAAACACAAACATGTCTCAACTGCCACTCATAGTCAATGTCAAGTTAATAGCCCTTAATGTAATATATGTACAATAGCATACAAAGTGTACTTGATCACGCAAGCCTATTACAGATCAGAAGGAAGATTGGCAGACATACTAATGTGTGTACCCGGGTTATTTATAGACTAAATATACGCAATATTGATTAAATAAGGCTGTGCATTGATTATTATTATGTAGTTATCTAGTTAATATAGATAGAAGGGTCTGATTTTTTATTAAAGGTACATTAGTTTGTTATCAAATTCATTAACTGCTTTGGTGGTATTTTAGTTCTATTTTGGGCTTCATAACGGAGTTCTTTTCGTTAGTTGCTATTGAATCATCATCATGTCAAGGTGACCTGGAGGTTTAAAATGCAAGTGTCTCATGCATGAAAGTGTGGGTTCGAAACCTACCAACGGCTAGTATTAATGAGTCTTTTTCCAAGTTACATGTACTCTCTAAGATTATTTAGACATCACTGACAAACGGTAAAAGAAAACATCGCGAGAAAACTTGGGCTTATAATTTCTAATTATATCTAAGCTAGAAATCACCAACCCGCATTGAGCAAGGGTGGTGATTAATGCTCAAACTTTCTCTGTACGAGAAGAGGCTTTTGGTCAGCAGTGGCCACTCATAGGCTGTTGATGAATTGAATCCAATTAAATCAGAAACATGTTGACATATTTCCAACATAGAGTAGTAGTTTGCGTGTGGTGTCTATGGTGTTTAACCAAAAGTTTTCAATTTATATCAATCGTTTAACAGTACTCAAATTTAGTAGTCACATGAGATATCACTAAACTAACTATTTAGTAGATGAACTACGTTTTGTATTTAATAGTTCAAATAGCAGAAACATTAATATTGTTCACACAATGGCTATACAACTATAGGACAACGGCAACAAAGAACATCCCGGCTGATTGCCAGTTGAGATCCATTAAGATCTTGCTATTGTCTTACCGAAACCATCTCGGAACTATTCTGAGAAATTGGCTTTTATTCTTTACATCTTACAAGTGAATCTGGATTTAACTGTCTGTCTGTTCGTGGAAAGAAATTGTAGTCTTCGAAGCAGCACTTCGAAGAAGAAGACTTAATTTAAACAAGCCATAAAATAACATGATTGTGTCTTTTATTCTCTGAAAAGTTCTCATGTCAACATGAAATCACTTGTCAATATGTGGCTTGTTGTTTTAAACATAATCGTTAAGGTAAATTACGAATTCCATGATAATATATGGAAGTAATACATTTTTAAACAGCAGAAAATATCTACTTCTTTATAATTACGTATGGCCTACACGTTAAAAAATGTAGTGCTGTTTGTGTGCCATTTTAGTATATTTATCTTTATATATATAATTCTGCTGTACGTGTGTATGTCATTGAAGTCCTCCTACACGGCTTGACCGATTTAAATGAACTTTTCTGTATGCGTTTGGGTGAAGCCCTGGATGGTTTAGATTCACAAATCAACCCGGCAGATGGAGCTGCAGTCGAATTCTAGGTTATTTATCTATACCTATTATTATATTATATGAAGGATATCGTCTGTCAGGTCTTCTAGTTAATTTATATAATTATTCTCTTTTTTCCAGATACAATGTTGACTGCAGTCTTGAAATAATGTTCTTAGCAACACTTCGAGAGCACAGACATCAAAAACTTGGCAGAATCCTGTGCAGCACTTCAATAGATCTAGCAAAGAGATTGAAGAATGGTCCAGTCTCTCAAATATCGGTGCAAGATTTAGGGCCAAAATATTCCAATATGGCGGCTAGAAAACCAATAAACAAAGTTCCTAAGATCTGTCAAGCTTTATGGACTTCGGAACCAACTCAGAAGATTGGCAAGGTTTTAAATTTCGAAGTCGGGATTCGCGTATCGTTTAATGATTTTTATTATAATGGAAAATCTTTTGGAGAACGATTGGGTAAAGAAGTCTTTGCTGAAGCTGCTGCTATTCGACTTGATTAATATTTATAGATTAATTGTAAACATTTATATAAATAATATTTAGTTTAATTGACACTAGGAAATAAACATTCCCATATAATACAATAATATGTACCTGTTTCATATTTTAGTACTGTATCTATGTGTATTATATTTGGTAACATAATAATATTCTCAATTATGTACATACGAATCATATACAAAGAATGTGAGAGCTATTTTCATTATTCTGTCCTGAATTTGTCTTTGACTTATTTCTATAGTTCTATTCCTTTTCATTCCTTATATTTCTTATTCCTATTCCTTTTTTTTCCTTTTCCTAGAAATAGTCATGCTACAAAACTTCTAGAAATACCACAGATATAATAAACAAGGAGATATGGTGTGGAGTCAAAAATGTATGCAAGACCGGTGAAGCCACAACTGCCCCTCCATAAAACTAATATTACACACACAGTTCTGACAAAACGTATAAGTGCACACACGCAGTATCGATAACTCAGTAATTCAAATATAAGCCTTATTCTTTAAACGACAGAGCAAATTCTCCTATGATTTATTCACACTAAAACAATTTGTTACTGTGTGTTAGGAGCGTCGCCGTAGTGACTTGTCGATATCGATAGCTCCCGATGAATATATCGATAAATTTATTACAAAGCTTTTGGAAATAAAGTAAAAACGACATAAAACCAACAAAATATAATTTAATTATTAAACAATATTTTATGTAAAAAATTATTACAAATCACACGACAAGTTGTATGTAGTTATAATGATATAATTTGGATAAGGAGGTATCGCATTCTTGGTTAATTAATGAAGTTGTATATTTTTCAATGACTGCTTTTATTCATAATATTATGTGGTTATTCATTGGGGACCGCTCTGTAAGTACAAAATTATGACTATGCGATGCTGATCATTATAATGCATACAAATGGTTCATTTATGAAGATTAAAGTAAAATACTATAACCATAAAAAGTGAAAAAATATATATTTTTTTTAAATATTTCTGTGGGAAATACTTAAGAAAATTGAATTTGTTAAAACTACCTATTTACAAAGTGACATTTTTTTACTTAAAAATACGGATAATATACATGTAAACATTTTTGTCACTTTATAAAATTTTAGTTTATTAGCTTTTTAGTGACTGCCTCATTGCCGAGTGGTCGCAAGTTCGACTGCTGGGCAAGGGGCCTCGGGTTCGATTCCCGGGTCGGGCAAAGTATTTTAAAAAAATCTCAGTAGTAGCACGAAGTCTGGAAATGTGCCCGGTATATGGCAATCGGCTCACCCCCAATTACATGGAACTCATAACATAAATAGCGAAAAGTGGGTGTTACATTGTACTTACAGTTGCATTAAGAGCCGTACTGTGCACCTCTGCCTACCCCTTCGGGGATAAAAGGCATGTTGTTATGTTATGATTGTTATGTTGTGTTATCTTTTTAGTAGTAAAAAAAGGTTATTGTCTAAACCTAAGGACAACAAATTGAAGTCATGTGGTTAAGATAACAACGTAATATATTTGTATTTATGTTAGACGTACCTAATTACAATAGTAATACAATGCGTATAATCTAGTCATCAACCATAATTGAAGTCTTAATGAGTGAATAATTCACGGTAATTAAGATTTATGGCGCCTTAGAATCTATTTTAAAATACGGTTTGTAACTGAACTAGTATCTCTACATTAATATTTGACGAAATAACTAAAAATTACGAGTTACTCACGTAGGTCAATAGTATAATGAGAAAACCTCTACTAGTTTCGAGCCACAGAGGGGCTCTTCTTCATGAGCGTGTGTCACATAATAATAGTTATTCAGCATGCCTCAGAATATTTATTTAAAAAAAAAAACATTTGAAGAATTTTAAGAACTTGATAAGATGTCCGGAATGGTTCTATTTCATCATCATTTCATGTATCCTCAGTCCTCACAATAGAAAGAGGTTTGTTGTAATTCCTAATCTTCTACCAAGCTTACGGACACGGCAGCAAGATCAGCGTGGATATCATAGCGAGGTATGTCCTCGCTATGATATCGATACTGCTGCATGTGTCTTCTTTAGTAGATATAACTGTAGGGTAAAAACTATAATGAATATTTTTATCGGTTCTGCAATTAACCTTGCCCAACCAACCAGCAAAAAGAAAGTTTAATGCAAAGTGCATTGACCCTCTTCATACCTTTAGTAGGGTTTTTTTTAAGGGGGGAAAATCATCGAATGGCTGATCTCGCCTTGATCTCGCCTGGGTGAGGCGGGAGGGGAGTGTCAAACTCTTACTGACTAAAAACCACCCCGTTCCTTCTCCTCCACGTCGAGCCGGAGCCCCGGTTACCCGTTAGGTTCTCCGCGACTCCGAATCACCTTTAGTAGCGTACGAAGTTTCGCTATACACACTCATAGACGGTACGAGTTAAACATAAAGATACCTACATCTACAGATGTACATCAGACACACACATACGCAGTTTTCTTACAACAACAAAACTGTTCTGTGTGTAAGTTAAACACATACAAAAGACTGATTTCAATAACCTGTTCAGCTGAGCGGAGTGATAAATATACATATACATAGGTAGGTAGTAATGACTGTTAGTGTTCGCAGTCCTTCGACGCGGTCACTACAAGTTCACCGGTTTATAGTTATTTTATAATTCTGATATTTTTGCCGTCTTAGTGTTTTGAAAATGGAGTCGCTGATTACGGACGATGGTAGGTAGCCTTTTTGATTATTATTAAAACCTACTTGTTGGTTTTCATTTATGATTTAATTTTATTCAGCAATTTATACAAATTGTTGTGGTGTTATGGAAAAATCATACTTTAACGTCATAAACAAACAGATAATGTAGAAAAACATATATATCTTGTTCATGTTCATTAATCTTGCAAAGGTGTAAATATAGTTTGTAATGTATAACCTGTGACAAATGCCCATGATTGCATTATAATGTTATTGATAAGGGATAAATAGTAAGCAATTTTATGAAATACATTAATAAATACTGAGTAATTTATAACAATACATTAATGATACAAAATAATTAATAAAATGCCATGACATATCTCATGTACATGTACAATACCAGACTATTTTTTTTTATTTGTTACGGAAATCCTATTATACCAGGCTTGATTTAAGATAAGAGCTAATACAATTACATCGTCATGGAAAACTCGCAAGTATCTAGTTAGAGTCCTATAAGGAAAATAGACTTCTTGTGTGGGTTTTACCCAATTGCTTTTTTCCTATGGCTTACATAAATTGTCCCTTTATCATATCGAGTGTTTTATATCCATGTGATTGTGTCTGTGTATATCTTCTTTAATTTATGATCGCTATTACAATTTGCAATGTAATACAATTTTTGAAATACATTATGAATGAAATACATTTTTTTTTCGTTTAAACAGTCGTATTATACCAATCGATATTTATTTTAGGAAAATACAGAATCGAGTCAATGAGTGCTGCTACTTTAGAAGGTGCTCTGAAAGTAAGTAAAAGAAAAAAATACTGTTGTTATTCAATAATTTGGATAAGATACGTGGATAACCTTTGGATAAAATTTAAAACAATTGACATCGGGTTGTTTAGTTTGTTAACGAAATTATCTATACTTATAATAAATCTGTAGAGTGGTAAATTCTGTACATAAAATATATTTAAAAAATAACTATCAAGGGGTGGTTAGGGATCGCTACTGATGCCAAAAATGCAATCAGTAAAATTTTTGTCTGTCTGTCTGCCTGTCTGTATGTTCGTTATGGAAACAAAAACTACTCGATGGATTTTAATGAAATTTGGCACAATTATTCTTCATACTCTTGGGCAGGTTATAGTAAACTTTTCATTACGCTACGATCAATAGGAGCAGAGCAGTGAAGGGAAATATTGGGATTAAACGGGAGAAGTTACTCCATTTTTTAAACTTCCGTCGCGTGTGCAGGCTTATAGGTTAAAGCTGCATAGAAATCATGTATGACGGAAATATTCTCCTTAAAATTATATAAAAAATATTCCTCGACAGCATATGTCTATCTTTTATGGTTGACTCACAATAACACGTGAAACTCCAGATAGCTTAGCAATTCGGTGATTACTGATTGTATTTGTCTACTCTAACGTTTACAATACTCATTCATAGACTTTACGCTGTAACTGAAAGGCCAATGGTTGAAATTAGCTTGACTCGATATTATAAATGAAAATAATGTGAGTTTATGTGTATGTTTGTTACTCAGTCATATTAAAACGACTGAAGGGACCGGAATGAAATTCGGAACCGAGGTAGATTATGGTCTGAAGTGATACATAGGCATTTTACCTCTGGGATCGCGGGCGAAGCCGCTGGCAGAAGCTAGTCTGTCATAAAAGCAAAATGTGTGTATTTGCTTATTTGCAAAATGTACCAATGCGTCCATCTTAAAATAAACACCCGCTTGTCGAGCATCTGCCACTAACGCATTCTATCCTATTTTGGCCACACAGTGCTCAGAAGCGATGCAAGTCTGGAAAAACTATTGCCTTTGGCAGCATCGAAGGCAAACGAGGACCAGATTCACCGATGAATTGAAAGTCTCATTGTCCTCCAAACTATTTGCCCTAACTGGGTGCCTTAACTAAATAGCTATCACCGAGATATGTTCGGTTAAATAATCACCAGACTAAGCGATCTGAATGACTAGTGGTCGAATATAAAAAGAGGTCGTGATACACGCTCTGAATCCAATAGGGGCAGATCATCCACTCCAAATGTATGTAACTCCAATGCCGACCACGATTCTCAGACATGAGGGAATGATTGGAGGTAGAAGTTTTAACATGTCCTTGTCGTGTACTTAACAGATAATAAGAGAAGATTTCTTCCAAGATGAAGACGTTAGTGTTGGTGCTGGAATAAACGAAGATCCGGAAGCTGCAGAAGAATTACTAGAACTTTGCGCAGATGCAATGCTAGATGGACTATCGCTGGTGGCTGTTGAAATTGCGAGTGGAAAAGTTGTATCCGTTGTTTTTAATAAACTACAGGTTAGTAGCTTTACTTTTAACACGAACTTCACTTTAAAAATATCCAAAAATCTGAAACACACATAATAGTATGAAAAAAATCCATGTATTTGAGTTAATTAATCTCTTATGTTTTGTCCTTGTTTATCGTTTATAGTCATTCTCATAAAAATGAATAACGATTGTTTGTGGTATGTTTCCACTTATAATAAGTTCATTGACCTATCGTAAGTTTAACGTAAAATAATCAATAGCTTTGTTGCTGTCTTAACAGATAATTTTTATCTGACGTCTCCGAGCTAGGTCTTATAAAATATTAAAGTAACAAGATAGACAGTTTTTACTTCTGTTCCTCGTCACGCATGAGATTTTGGGTATAGATCTGTTAGATGGATCTATGTATGAGTACATATTATGTACTGTTATTCGATTTCAAAATAGTCATTATATTAGCAAAATGTCTAATCGTTCACATTAAATGTTTCAACGTTTTAGCGAAGGACGCTGACAGTTCCTTAATTTCCATGTTTGCGTATTTAAAATATGAGTAATATTACTCTCGTGATGAAGATTTGATTTATTCTTCTTAATAATTATGCTTACCTATTGCAGGAAGCACCATCTGCATCTTCGGGAAAAACATTTTTCGAAACATTTGCCGAAGAGCGCTGCAAGCGACCAGCCGCCATTTCCCTGATCGATTTCATGGTAGAACTTGATGCAAAGTGCAATTATTTTGAAAGGTAAGAATACATTATGTGAAAATTTTTATTTCTGTGTTAATGTTTTGTTCCTTAGTGGTTTTTACGCTGTTAATAATTGATATTATACTATCTACTACTTTTTATTACTAAACTATAATATTGTTTAAGATAATAAATATTGGAAGTTGACGGGATATTCAGACATGTTTACTTAAATTATACCTTTGTATTATTTAATTTGTTCATTTGGGTAAAGGCCTTTAACACATACACTCCAGGAATCTACACTAATATCAATACCTAAACAAACAAATAATGGCGTTTATTTTGATTCAGATACGGGGTTGACTGCCTCTGTGAACTGATGTTCCTTGGGACTCTTCGAGAACACAGACGAAAAGGACTTGCCAAGATTCTCTGTAAAACGTCAGTAGAACAAGCGAAGAAGTTAAAAGATAGACCTGCTACTCCGCTGAAGATTGAGGATCTTGGACCAAAGTATGCTTTTATGAAACCGAGGAAGCCAGTTACAAAGATACCGAAATTGTGTACTGGGTTATGGTCAGCAGTAGGTTCTAAGAAGATCGGAAAGGATTTGGGTTTCGAAGTCCTACTCACAGTGTCCTTAAAAGATTATGTTTTTGAAGGAAAGACTTATTCGGATAGAGTTGGCGTTGTCACCACTTGTGAGGGAGCTGCACTGAAGATTTAAGGACTAATTGATGCCGAAGACAGTTTTGTGATGCATAAAAATATTTTGTCATTTAATTTTTGTTGTATTATTATTAATAAATGTGCAAATCTAATGTGAATATGTTTTTAAAAGTTTAAAAATAAGTAGTTCACATGTCTACATGATGACAAGTAATTTAAAATAACTGCTTAATGAGCAAAAAAGTCACAAAAAGCGAAACCTTTTGTAAAACTCATTGTGTACCTACCTATTTCGTCCAAGCTTTTTGATATTTTCAGTATGATTCACAATGTAAATAAGAGATGGCAACACTTACGACATTTGACGTTTTCATTAAATAATTCCCGATTCGTATAGGAGATGGCGCTACAAAGCAGGTAATCCTACAAAAATGCAATTATCTAGATAACGAAGTAATAAAAAATTGGGTACTTTATTAGTATTCACAGTCCTTCAGGGTGATCACAATAAGCTCACCTGTTATAGATATTTTTATTTTGCTAATATTTTTGGTGTATCAAAGTGCTTGTTGAAAATGGAGTTAATCACGAATGATGGTAGGTGACATTTTTTTATAATCTAAGACTTATGAATAAATCTATTTTTGCCTTGCCGAATTTATTTACCAATAAATTGAATAGGGTATTATCAAATAAAAAAGCTTATAGAAGTGTAAACAAAAAATAATATAAAATGTGGAAAATCTCTAGTTGATTGAGTATGACCACAGTTGTAGATATGAGCAAAGTACTACTTTTTTACTTTTTCAATAGTAGCACGGAGTTTAGAATGGTGCCAGGTATAATCGCAGTAGGTTTCCTATCTGTTAATACTACCTATATTTTTTCGAATGAAATATGGACTGGTTCTAATTATTATAACTTTGGTTTGAGCACTTTTGGTAGTTTACAAAACGAAATTCGTTCTTTTCGTAAAAGTTGAAGGGAATCTAAATTACATGGAAATGAAAAGCTCAGATTATTTTACACGAATTTCCAAAGTGCTATATTCAGTTTAATAACGTATTCCTTATTATAAACTTGTATCATATCAATATTTTAATTTTAGGTAAATACAGGATTGAATCACTGACCGCTGCTACATTACACGGTAGCCTCAAAGTAAGTATATCTTTATTAAAATCTAGATAAAAATAAAATATGTTTTATCATTCCAAATTATGTTCATCAATTTTATTTTTGTTGCGTTGATTGCAACGATAACAAATCAGGTACAATAATCATTGCAATTATGATTTTTTACTTCTGGTTTTCTTTTAAAACAATAAGTTACATCATCAGTCTGATAAAGTTCACGGCTGGCCTATGTACCTATTTTGTGTGCCTTAAGTATTCTATCTTCTGCATTAAATTCACCGAGAGAATTGGAAACTATCATTTTTTCTTTTACTCTATTAATATCCTATATTTTTGTTTGTTCGTCGCGGGATTCAAGATCCTTATTCATGTCCTTGGGACGCGCCGGGCTCCAGTGTTTCAGTGTATTCATGGTTGTATCTACTGTAGATCCTAACTTACAGGGGCTGTAGCGGTTTTGGGAGGGTGCATAAAAATCTGGACTGTGGCTTATACAAAATAGAGGTTTATCAGTCAGAAGAGTTGCTCGGTTCCCGTTAAATATGTAATCCCTTAGACAATTCTTATGAAACTCACTAAAAAAAAAGAGTGGCATTAGTCACTACATGGTTGAAATTGAAAAGAATAGTCATGCTAATTCTAATTATATGTTCTTTACGTTTATTTTGTCATAACCAGGTTATGAGAGACGATTTCTTTCAAGATGAATTGGTCTGTACTGGAATCGGGCTAAGTAAAGATCCATTAGCTATAGAAGAATTACTAGAACTTTGCGCTGACGCAGCGTTAGATGGAGTATCATTGGTGGCTGTTGAAATAGTGAGTGGAGAAGTAGTAGCAGTGCTTTTTAATAAACTGCAAGTAAGTCAATTTATTTTTGTATAATAACTATCGTGAGACATACTAAATTGACTAAAATTCGCGGAGTACTCACGTAAATATACTGAAAAATGCTCTAATAGTTTCGAACCGCGAAGGGGCTCTTCCTCATGAGCAGTGTGCGTGGTCGTGGCAATGTCGCGCAGCCTAGTGCTAGTAACATAGGGACAGCCCCTTTGTGGCTTGTAACTATGCCGTGTGCCGTAACTATGCCGTATATATGAGCAAACTGCGATTTTTAGTTAAATTAGATTTATTGGTACTTCGGTAGTATATTTAAAAATATTCATAGTTAAAGTTGTATTATAATATAAAACATTTAAAAAAATAAAGAAGTGTTACATTTACTTCCAAAAATTATCCTTGAATGTTCTTAATGGATGAATACAACCCTTCGAAAAGGTTTAACATTGCTTTATACAATACACGAACACAATTCGACAAGCACCTGTATCGTGATAAAGGCAATCCTAATGAAATCTATTTCATATTTTTAATTTTTTACAGGAAGCACCATCTGAATCAGCGGGAAAGTCATTTTTCGAAACGTTTATCGAAGAGAGATGCAAACGACCAAAATCTCGTGCTATTGTTGATTTTATGGTAGACGTCGATTCAAAGTGCAATCACTTTGAAAGGTAAGAAACTTCATAGTTTGGATAAGTCTCGAACTTACATTTATACTAATATTATAAAGCTAAGAGTTTGTTTGTTTGTTTGAACGCGCTAATCTCCAAAACAACTGGTTCGAATTGAATAATTCTTTTTGTGTTGGATAGTCCAGTTATCGAGGAAGGCTATAGGCTATATAACATCACGCTACGACTAATAGGAGCAAAGATATAGTGGTAAATGTGTAAAAAACGGGGGAAATTATTTCATCTTTGAAACCTTCCGTTGCGTGCGCTGTGAAAACGGTTCAAGATACACAAAAAATATGTATGAAAGAATAATAGCGCTTTTAATGATCTAAAAAAAGGCCGCGACGGTATGTGTCTATCTTTTAAGATTAACTCACAAAAACCGTTTTTACCTACCTTGTTTGTACCTAATTTGGTCAAAATAATTTGTTTAAGTCGTATTAACATCATAATAACATTAATCTTTATTCAAAAAAATATGTTGTTGGTTAAGAGTACTTCATTGTGAATAAAATTGTCTTTGACATAAATTAATTTCAACAAAAAACTTTAAAGATTACAATGATAAATAACTCCGAACAAAACCAACTCGCTCTCTGCGCTGGCCGGCGCGGCGGGAGAGAGGCGGTGCTTGCGGGCAAGCCGTTGACGAAATAAATGATATAATTTTGAGTAAACTCCCAGGAGATATTGTAACCTACACATCCATTGATACCGTTATGGATCAAGAAGATGTAGTTCATTACCCACAGGAGTTCCTCAATTCCTTGAACCCAAGCAGCCTTACCCCACATTCTCTTAAGTTAAAAATAGGTGCCTCAATAATTTTACTAAGAAATCTCAAACCACCAAATTTATGCAATAACGTCAACGTTGCAATAGTTTTGACTGGTCTAGCAGTTGGTCAAACAGTCCTCAAACCCCGCATCCCAATGATACCTAACGATTTACCTTTCAATTTTAAAAGAATACAATTTCCGCTTAGTTTTAATTAAGCACTGTAATAATTTTATAACCATCATCTGTACACTTAGTTGCAATAAACGCTTTGACTTTGACTTTGGCTTAATTTATCTTTCGCAGCTACAATAAATAAATCTCAGGGGCAAACATTCAAACACGTGGGGATCGATTTACGCCAAGACTGTTTTTCGCACGGCCAGTTATATGTCGCGTTATCAAGATCGGGTTGTGGCGAAAATCAATATGTTCTTCTGCCATAAGATAATAAAACAAAAAATGTAGTATATGCAGAAGTTCTTTAAAATAATTTAATTTGCTTTAAATTTTGTACAGATATAGTTTGGGACTCGAAAAAAAAACATAGGTTTTATCCTGAACATTCTGCGGGAACTCGACCATTCCGAAAATTCCGCAAGAACGGGAACTATGTGGGAAGAATAAAAAATCTGCCGGAAGTCACTATTCCACGCGGACGAAGTCGCGGGCAAAAGCTAGTTAGTGATATAATAACAATATTCATAAATTATATCAACACTATAACGGAATTGGTTAAGATCGAAAGAATTGCTATGTTGACGAGATGACCAGTATCATAATTACTTTTCATATATGTGGTGATAGTCTCAAAAATGTAGGCACTAGAGTAATACACTCATTCAACCAAACAAATAATAGTATTTGTTTTCACTCAGGTACGGAATTGATTGCCTCTTTGAACTATTATTCCTTGGAACTTCTCGAGAACACAGACAAAAAGGACTTGCTAAGCTACTCTGCAAAACTTCAATAGAACTAGCAAAGAAGTTGAAAGATGGACCAATTGCTCCCCTGAAGGTTGAGGATCTTGGATCAAAATACGCTTTTATGAAGCCAAGGAAGCCAATTACAAGAGCACCAAAGTTACTTACCGCGATGTGGACAGCAGATGGCACTAAGAAGATAGGAAAAGATTTGGGTTTTGATGTGCTGGTCACTGTGTCTTTGAAAGATTATATTTTTGAAGGAAAACGTTATTCAGACGGAGTAGGTTTTGTTACGACTTGTGAAGGGGCTGCATTGAAGATTTAAGGACCAAATGTATTATGAGGCAGAGTATTATGAGATAAATAAAACTTTTTTAAAAGTATAAATGCGAAATTTGTTATATCTAACTATATGTATAAATGGTAAAGTAAGTTAGTTGAATGAAGCCAGGAAAAGCCAAAACTAAGTAATAGCTGTTAAGTGGGTTGTGATCGGTAAACAGTTTTACGAAAGTAAAATAGATTTTGAAGGGCTCTAGTTACTATTTCTTTGAAGGATAATTTTCTGGATAAGAATCCTTATTCACGAAGAGTAGGCGTTGAAATAATTTGAGAAGGCACAGAGAAGAGCTGATTGAAATTGGAAATCATTCAATAATAGGTTGATAGTTTCCAACCCACACAGTATATTAAAATAGACGAGCTTCTTGAAATGTATATTTTAGTAGTAGATAATTTTATTTAGCAATTTTTTGCTATTGATTTATCATCTACTAAAGTTTATTATCACTATACATAACCTAGTTTAATATCTTCACTATGAATTTTAAACCTACTAAAAATGCTAATTTCAACTTTTCACGATTATTTTTCGACTTGTTTAAAACTAAGTTAGCCCAAAGGTTATGATGAATATCAAATAAAACTTCGTTGGTTAGAATCTAAAATCAGAAAAAAGTGTTACTACTTGCGGAAATTGCTTGCTAAGTTAATAACATTTGCGATGTAATTTATTAGTACTTGATAGTGTACCGAGTATTCTGTGACAAATGAAAATCATTACGAACAGTCTGTACGTCGTTAGCATGGAACCTAAGTTCGGTCAGATAGCCAGACATCTCTAATTGCATCGTCCAACTTCGCCCAAATTGGTCCTACTTAATTGATTTGGATTCGACATTGAATTTGTCGCTTTGTCGCTTCGTGTCGCGCGTCGATTAATCTATTAGTGGACTATTGTCGGTAAGTTGCTGGTCATTTGCATATTGTAGTATTGCTATAATGGATATTGAAGTTGTATTGTAGACTGTAGATTGAATGCTATAATTATAGTGTCTATTTCAGTTGTCACGTCATAATTTCAGTGCACTTAGGCGTAGGATGGTGTAGTTTAACATAACCCCATCATCTTATTCTCACTGCTTAGATTAATGTTTATTTACCTGATGACCTCTATTAAACGAAATGAGTCCATTGATATTATGTACTGAATTTCGAAGAACTAACTTAAATGAAGGTTCCAGAACTAATTTGGAAATAGTTGTAGTTTCAATGTAACACCAACGCAACAGTTCTTAGAACAATAAGTAGACACAAGAAAAGAAAATATCTTCAGGTATCTTTCTTCCAATACCTATCTTACCTTACACATGAACGAAAGCAAACTACATGGTCGGTTGAAGACACTATTAATATTTAAACGGACAGAGCTTATTTCATACGTCAACGAGTCAGAAAATTAGAAAAAGAAAGAATTCCGTTCCTCTACTTTTATTTCGACGTTTGACATAAGTTACATTTTTGTTTTAGCTCGTAATTTTGGGAAAACATGCTTGCTCGGCTACGTAACTATTATTTGTTTAGGTCCAAATATACCTCTATTGTTTTCGTACCCCTAAAACCTTGTTACAATTTTTCTTTTGTATTAAACTGTAAGTAAATATACTATTTTAGGGGTTTTGGTACAATGAGTAGCTTGAGGCTTACTTACATTCGTGTAGACCGACTATTTTGATGTTGAGTACATATTTGTGGAGTTTTTAATTTTTTTTTGTATTATTTGATGAGCCCACGCTACGTTTGACCACTATCTGGTGGTAAGCAATGATGCGATTTATGATGGAGCACGTCGTCCCATAAGCAACCTATTCACTCGGGCCTTAAAGACACCCAAATTATACCCTTCAGGAAATACAAACACTGGCAAAGAATTCCGCTCCTTAGCAGTACGCACAAGGAAGCTTGATGCAAAGCGCTTAGTGCATGTAGGTGGGACATCTACTATGAATCGGTAACGCTTCGCAGACTTTGATGTGTGAAAAATTTTCTTTTTCGCCTTAGGTCTTCTATACACCTCTGATACCGTTGTTAACTTCCAAGTTTTAAATTGTACTGTATTTATGGGCTAAAGTATATTTCACAACACTCGAAAGCCTGACAGCAAACCGAATCCAATAGACGGTAGAAAGCATTCGTAATAATGATGCCGAAGAAATAAAAACCATAACCACCACATAATAGAGACAAAAATAATACAACCGCGGAAACAAGGATGGAAACCCGCGTTTCATTCGTCTGTGTCTGTTTGTGCCACAGTAGTGTTGTGAAACGGATCCTTTTCCAATTGTTTGTGAAGCGTTCGCGACGTAATGATCAATTACAGAGAGAATTTGCATTCTGAGGTATAGTTTTACTTTATATTGTTTATTCAGTAATTCTTGTGCTTACCAATTAGTTTCGTTTGGTTAAATGCTTTTATGGAAAATGGAGTATTGATAATTATTTCAGAGAAATTAATGACTTTAGCAGATTCTAATAAGACGAAGTGGCAAGTGATTGAATTGAAATTTAATAAAAGATACAAGCTGCGTAAAACTGAGATAGTCGACGTTTTTAGAAAACCTACGAAGAATAAATAATTAAAAACGAACAAAAGCTTGCAATTTTCAATCGAAAAAAATCTTCTACGTAGTCACATTTGCAGATTAGTATCTTTTTTCTTGTTGTAAGGGACCTACTTGAAGCCACAAAGAACAATTGGTATTCGAGTGAGACAATAATATCCGTGTTTACTAAAGCACATTTAAAGCGATCTCAACGGGTCCTCAGATCGGATTCGCTTTGCATAGCACTTGAAATTCAAATGGTGCAGTTCATATTGAGCCTCCCCCTGTCTAAGTGCCTACGGTTGTCATGGTAACGGTGTCTGCAGTCCTTTACTCATCCCGTATACAGTTACAATTGGAATTTTAACTGAAGTGTGAGGATTCCGTTACGTCTGTCACATGTAAGTGTTTGTGGACAAATGATGTTTGAAAAGAAAAAGGAATGAGCTTGAATTTTTGCTTCTAGTTCTAATACTGGTTCTCATAGAGCAAATACTTTAGGCAAAAAACTGAAAATGTAAAAGGTTTTGACCTATTAGTAAAATAAATTCAAACTAAAATAAAATTAGGCGTTAACCTACCTCCAGCGACGCGGAAAACATTTCAGCCCGGTATATTATTTTAACCCATTTTATGCGGCGGCGGTGCAAAAAATTCCAAATGCTTTTATTCCATTAAAAGCTCCTAAAACTACTCCACGAATGCTTAAAATTATTATCTCAGTTTCCCAAAAGGGACAGGTTAACTTTGAACAAAAAACCTGCAGATGGTGTGTTTACTCGGTTAAAACTTTTGGCTACGTTACTTTGATAAATTATTAAACTGAATTTTATTTTTACCGATTTGAACTTAAAAAGGTTGGAATTTGGTAAATGTTTATCAAGGTTGTAACCCAAATATTAGATTTTAATAATGTCAACTATTGTTTATTTTAAGTATGATTTTATATTTTATTTCATAAAAATAAAACAACAATGAATATAATTATTAAATTACACATTCTGTAAGTGGAGTTATATTAAAAACCCACACATACATACTTATGTTTATATTTTGCACCCTCTTTATTCGCACGCGTCGAATAAAGTGGTATCTATGACTTAAGTAAAATACCTTCAATCCCTCAATGCGGTGCAGGTAAGCCAGTAAATTGTGTTTTCAATTGTTTTCCTCCCTTATCATTGCAAATAGCGCCTTTTTCCTATACCCCTGCTATATCTTTGGGTCGTGAATTCTCCACACTGCCAATTTAGGGTTGAATTTATGTTGAGGGAATTTAAATGTGTCATTTTAAATTGGGCGATATTTTATGTCTATCGAAATTATTGCAAATATGTAAGTACATCATTTTTCATAGTTAGGAATAGGTACAGGATGGACCCCTTCTATTCCTAGTTCCTCTAGTTCCTTTCCTATATTAATCCTATAGTTAACAATAAAAGCATGATATTGTACAAAGACATAAAACAAAAATAAAATATAAAAGTCAAGTTATTAAGTCCAACGAATTGTCAAGGCATACGTTTTCTTTCGAAGCGTGACCCGTCATACGTCACTATAAAACACGCTAAGGACACAGTGGGGCCGATGAAATTTGCCTTTTACGGCTCTCTCGTAAAGTAAATATCACTGATGTCGACCAAAAAAGATGTCCGCAACGTAAATGCGTGCTTATTAAACCACTTTATTGGCTTATTTAGGTTTTTACGTCGGAATTTATTTTGTGTATGTTTTTATGGGACCTTGTTTTATGTACGGTGTCATGATAAAAGTAATACGAAGCTATTGAGTTTTTATTATCTTAGTTCTTGAGAGCGTAATACGGGAGATGATATTGGATTGTGTTCTGTTATATCAAATTGATACATTATTACATATAAGGCATTTCGGCAAATTGATTTGCCCATAGAGACAACTTATGAAAGTTCTAACTTCTCTTTAATAAGTTCTTATAGTAAACCGAATAGGAACAGTAATCAAAATCAGTAATCGAGGTTCTGTAAAAAATCCTCTCCTTTTAGGACTAACTATGATAAAGAAAGATAAGTCTTGACAATCTGTAGTCGTAACCCATAGTAAGTATAGCCATGCCTTCATATAAAATACGGTCATTTTTACGAATTAGGTCAAATGGGTAAGAGGAGGTCAGGAGGAGGAATGCCAACGACGACGTATTGCAAAATATGAGTAATAGAGAATATGAAATAGACAATAACACAATAATACACTACGGTAAGTAAAACAATTTGAACAGCCGTACCAGTCTTATATCAAGGAGACCTATATTACAGTGAACGATCACATACTGTTCATGACAATGATAAGATGATAATTAATGATGATGATACTATGTAAGCCAGAATTACATAAATGCTAACACAAAACCTTCTTCTTCATGTTGCCTAATGACACAAACAGCGCGACGTTAAAGACCGCCATGATTTGACCTTTCAGATCAAACACA